AGTGACTTGGAGGGATGGTGGGTTTGTTTGTCTCTTTTTTTTTTTTGGCTTTTAGGGTCACACCTGGTGATGCACAGGGGTTACTCCTGGCTCATGCACTCAGGAATTACTCCTGGCGGTGCTCCGGGGACCATATGGGATGCTGGGAATTGTCAGCCACGTGCAAGGCAAACGACCTACTTGCTGTGCTATCGCTCCAGCCCTGTAGGTTTGTTTCTTAGGGCTCCTGTAACCAAAGACCACGCACTAAGTGGTTTAAAACAGAAAATGTGTAGAACCAGAAGTAATGGCCTCGTGGTTGGGACCAGACAGACAGTCGAGCAGGCAAGGCGCTTCTGACCTTCTCTAATCTGGGTTCAGTCCCCAGCACTCCATTTGTGATTCCTGAATGCAGAGCCAGGAACCCTGAGCACTGCCAGATGTGGTCCCCCCACACAAACAAAAGCCTCCTTGGCTTACGTAACGCCAGTCACGTGGGAATATAGTTGTGAGTTTGCTCCCGGTTATTGCCGCGTGCGCCCAAGCAGGATCCTGGCAGCTCAGTGTCCAGCAGTGGGTGGCCACGTGTGAGTAGGCAAAGTAGCAGGAGCAGAAAAGTGTGTGAGCACCACAGCCAGGAGGAGGCCCTGGAGAGCACGCGTGGGGGCCCTTGCCTGGACACCTGGTGAGCTACAGCCAGAATGTGGGTGTGCTCCATAACTGAGGGGTACAACCTGCTCAGCCCAGTACCCTTCAGTTTCCCAGCCCTGTGTCCAAGTTCCATAACCTGATGTGTGACCCCCAGCAAGTGCCACAGCTAAAAAAATGTGTGCATACCACAGCCAGGCGCAGATGCAACCTCTGGTCAGCACAGCAACCGGAGCAGAAACAGCCAAGGGGAAGGAGAGGTAGGGGGAGGGGAGCAATGAAGAAAAGCAGTCGGAAATGGAGTCTCTCATGGTCCTGGAGATGGGGAGCCTGAGTCAGCAGAACCACGGTCCCTCAAAAATCCCGGGATGGGGGCTGGAGCGATAGCACAGTGTGTAGGGTGTTTGCCTTGCACGCGGCTGACCGGGGTTTGATTCCCAGCATCCCATATGGTCCCCCGAGCATTGCCAGCAGTAATTCCTGGGTGCAGAGCCAGGAGTAACCCCTGTGCATCGCTGGGTGTGACCCAAAAAGCAAAATAAATAAATAAATAAATCCCGGGACAACGCCTTCCTCGCCTCACCCGTCTTCTGCTGGGAGCCAACAATCCTTGTTTCCCTTCTCTTTAGCTGTGTGGCTCCAGTCTCTGCCTGATTAAGACCCCACCAGTCTGTCTGGAAGGACCACCGCACTCCAGAGTGACCTCATCTCAACTAATTGCCTCTCTAACCACCCTGTCTCCGAACAAGGTCACATTTGGAGAGAGAATAGAATCCCCACATTGCCTTTCCGGAGACAAAATTCAATCCATCATAGAGAGATCACATCTTGTTTTCACTGGGGTTCAAAATTAGTTGCCCTGAATCATTAAATTGACCAATTTGATCATAAAAGGCACTTTTAGCTCTTGGATTACACAGAAACCCTTGGATGGGTAGATTGGGCTCCAGTTAGAGTTAAATGCACAGGTTTTAGGAATATTGCAGAACAAGGGAGTGATATTTAGTTTAACTTGGGGGTAGCACTGTCCTCCCATTGTTCATTGATTTGCTCACGCGGGCCCAGTAATGTCTCCATCGTGAGACTTGTTGTTACTGTGTTTGGCATGTCGAATACGTCACGGGTAGCTTGCCAGGCTCTGCCGTGTGGGCGAGATACTCTCTGTAGCTTAAAGTCAACTTGGGGGTAGGAGAGGGAAAAGCAGAGTAGAGTGGAGAGGAACAGGCGAGTTTCCAGGGTGTTGCTAATATTCTGCTTCTTGGTTGTAGGTACACCACCGTTCATTTCATCTTGTTCTTGTTCTTTTTTTCTTTTCTTTTTGGGTTACACCCGGCATTGCATGGGAGTTACTCCTGGCTTTGAACTCAGGAATTACTCCTGGCGGTGCTTGGGGGACCCTCTGGGGTGCTGGGAATCGAACCTGGGTCGGCCATGTGCAAGGCAAACGCCCTACCTGCTGTACTATTGATCCAGCTCCTCATCTTGTTCTTTAAACTACAATATATATTGCTGTAGTTCACTAAAAATAGCTACCACCTCTTCTTTTGACTTTCAGCTTCTTTTTTTGCTTTAATTTGGGGTTTTTTTTTATGTTTGGTTTTGGGGTCCTACCTGATCGTGCTCAGGGATTACTCCTGATAGTGCTCAAGGGACCATATGCGGTGCCAAGGATGGAACCAGGGCCTGACACATACCCCACAAGCACCTTCCAGTCTTCCTTTCTTTATTTTAAAACTCTTCCAACATTGTCACCTCAGATACTTCACTCTGGAGGTATAATCTTCCAGAGTTTGAGAACTAAAGTCTGTGTACTCTCGTTAACCTGCTTATCTGTTCCCCTACTCCCCACCCCCCTTTACTGTCCCCCTTTCTCTTTGTCATTGTTAATTCTGCTTTCCTCTCTTTGGGGAAAGGAGTTGGTGCTCAGGGGCTATTCCTGACTGTCTTCAGGGGTGACCCTGGTGGTGCACTGGGAACCATATGCAGTGCTGGGATTGAACTGGGCATGGCCGCCTGCAAGGCAAGCCATCCTTCCTGTCCTTCCTTAATCTCCTTTATGCAAGTTGTTTTAAATTTGCCTTTCCAAAGTAAACAAAAATAGTTGGGGTAGTATAAAAGATAGTGTACTTACCTTGCAGTCAAGACCCAGGTTTGATCCCTAGCACACCATATGGTCCCCTGGACCCTTCCAGGAGTAATTCCTGATCTCAGAACCAGGATTAAGTCCTGAACAGTTTGGTGGGGGGGCTGGAGGGGGGGTGTTCATCACCCATCAAAAAAAAAATGGTTTCCAGTCCTGTTAATCTGATTTTGTTATATATGTTTCCTTTGCTGGGAGGGACACTCTCCTTAGGTAGGGCGGGGCAATACTCAGCCTCATGCCCAGAAGTGCTTGGGGGAACTGAGGCTACACCCTGCAGTGCTGGAGTAAGGACAGGCTGTGCCAGGGACTGAACGCCAGGACATACACATTAAAAAGCTTGTGCTCCAGCCCTGTAAGAGTCTTCCTGACCTTTAGATGTTTCCTTTTCATATAACTGTGTGGAGGAAACTTGACTTACTAAGTGGTCGTCGTGGTAAGTCAGGTAGAAGGAGCAAAGAAGAAATAAGCTCCGGAAACTTTCTTCTGTGCATTTGGGCCAGAAATGCCTTCTGAAAAGTGCCCTCGGGTCTTTGCCACGCTTCTCAGTTTGTGTTTATTTTAGCGAGCAGTAATCCACACACCACACAGTCCCCCTGATCGATTAAATGACAGGGTGACTTTTCGTGTGTTCGTAGAGTTACACGACCATCACCACAATTGACTTTAATACTTTTTCATCATCTCCCACCTGGAGAAACCCCGTCTGATGTTTGTCATAAACCAGTGTTAGCTCAATTTGTCGTCTTCCCTTTTTTTTTTTGTTTTTTGTTTTTTGTTTTCCTGTTTTTTGTTTTGGGGGTCATAACTGGGGGTGCTCAGGGGCTGTGCCTGACTCAACGTTGGGCTTCCTCTTGGATCATGCAGTGCTGGTAACTGAGCTTCTTCCTCCGTGTCGAGCTGTCTCTAACCCTTGACTGATAGTACCCTATCTTGTAAGCTTGCCTTTTCTGGACATTGCATCTACGTGGGATGAATCATAACACATGATTTATTGTGACAACTTTCACTTAGCTTAATGTTTTCCAGGTTCATTCATGTAGCACCGATCAGTGGTGGTGATTTATTCCCTTTTGTTTTACTTTATTCCCTTTCATTGCTGAATAGATTCTGTTGTCTGGATCAGCCCCGTTTTCTCTTTTCATCAGTTGGTGGACTGATAGAAATAGAAATAATTGTTTCCATTCTATCTATTGTGTGCGTTTCCATAAACAATCATTTACTTGTGGATAATGTTTCCCCCAAAAAAAAAAATTTTTTTTTTTTTTCGTTTTTGGGCCACAATCACTTTGGCTGAGGGTTTAGTCCTGGGTCTGCACTCAGGAATCAGTCCTGATAGGGGGCCTGGAAGCAAACCCGGGCATACAGGGCAAGCGCCTTACCTGCTGGCTCCAGATAATTTTCTTTAATTGCTTTACATTCATTGTAGAAAACCTGGAAAACTTCAGCCACAAATAAGAATAGAACTAGTTAAGAATGTCATAGGGATGGGGCTGGAGCGATAGCACAGCGAGTAGGGTGTTTGCCTTGCATGCAGACAACCCGGGTTCGGTTCCCAGCATCTCATATGGTCCCCCGAGCACTACCAGGAGTAATCCCTAAGTGCATGAGCCAGGAGTAAGCCCTGTGCATCGCTGGGTGTGACCCAAAAAAGAAAAAAAAGTCACAGGGCTAGCATAGAGGACCCAAAGAAGCTGTTTTGGGGCAAGCAACAAGCATTTCTCAAAGGCAGCCGTGATTTGATAGCTAGGACTGTTCTAGATTTGTTGAGGCGAGTTCTCAGTCGTAGCTGGCGTGCAGTGCAACAGCGTGTGCCCACGGTCCTTGCCTTGAGCGTTCTGTGTTTCTGCTCCAGGTGGTTTCCACGGATGCGCGAGCTCGCTGTCAGCTGGGACCTCTGCCATTTGCATTTCCACCTTCACTTTTGGTTCTCCCCCGGCTGCTGTCTTCTCCTGATACTGAGACTAAGGAACTGGAGTTTATGTTTCAGAGTCTTTCTCTCCCAATTCTCCCTCTAGTGGACTTTCCTTGCCAGATGACAAGCAGGAGTGGCCAGCTGCGGTTTAGAAATCATTGCGCTGAGGGAGAGCAGTTGGATTTCCCAACTCTCGGCCACCCAAGGGAGTGGGCGTTCCAGAAAATTTCACAGAGGAGAAAATGTGTCCACTGCAGAACTGTACACAGAGAATACAAGACCAAGGTCTCTAATAAGCTCACATTTGTTCTTTTGCAGGAGACTAGCAGGATGCACGATTTTTATCACAGGTGCAAGCCGAGGCATCGGCAAGGCTATTGCACTGAAAGCAGCCAAGGATGGAGCAAATATTGTCATTGCTGCAAAGACCACCCAGGCACACCCCAAACTTCCAGGCACAATCTATACTGCTGCTGAAGAGAGTGAGTATGGCTCTCCCGAAGTGCCCTGATGGGGCTTTAGTTCAGAGAGCATCCGGAGGGGAGCCGAACTCTCTTCGAAACAATCCTTAAAATAGTTCCATCTGGGGCTGTAGGGATAGTGCACTTGCCTTGCACAAGGTCATCCTGGGTTTGATCCCCAGCACCCCATATGGTCCCCTGAGCCCACTGGGAATGATCCCTGAGTGCAGAGTCAAGAATAAGCTCAGAATAGCACCGGGTTGGACCAGAAACAAAAATGGAAAAATTCTAGATTGGAGTCAGAGACTCAGTACACAAGTTAAGGAGCTCACCTTGCATGTCCCTCACGCGGGGTCAATCCCTGCCCCCCACCCCCACCCCACCTCCACCTCCAGCACCCATATTGTCTCCTGAGCATTGATGGGAGTGACCCCTGAACAGAGAGTTGGGAGTAATCCTCAAGCACTACCGGGTGTGGCCCCAAAACAAAAAAAACTCAAGTTTATATGATTTTGCTAATTTCCTTATGTTAAGGGAATATGTGTGAGATATTGTATGGATGAGCGATGGCCAAGATTTGTTGTAAATATACCAGCAAAACCCAAAATGGAATTAGGAGGGTAGAGAAATGAAAAAAACAAAACTTAATAATCATTGAAAATAGGAGATTGATTCACGACAGTTCATTAAACTCATGCTTATATTTTTGTATGAATTTGAGATTTTCCCTAATAATTGTTTTTTGAATCACCTTTTTTTCTGTTTAATATTAAATTTTTTTGCTTTCCTTTTTTAATACACATGGTCTAGCTGGTGAAGCTGGATATGGATTAGTCTTGTACTATAAGTAAACAACATAGTTATTTATACTGATTTTCTTAAAGATAATATATATATATGTGTGTGTATTTATACATATATACACACACATTTATGTATTATCTTTGGTTTTAGTGTTTGGACTATACCTGCCATTGCTTATTGATAACACCTGAATCATTGCTTAGAAGGTGCTTCTAGGGGTGCTCTGGGGATCGTGTGCTGTGGATCAAGTGCAGAACTAGAAGTACATGAAGTACTTGAAGTATTAGAAGTACCAGAAGTACCTGGCACAGCACGTGAAGCATGAAGCATGTGCTTCAAGCTGTTCAACTGTCTGTCTCCCTAAGCCCTCAGTCCCTTTTTATTTTTATTTTTTAGACTCGTAATATAAGGAAAGTGCTGTAATGCTGTTTTTGTTCATTGTTCCCTGCAGTAGAAGCAGCTGGAGGGAAGGCCTTACCCTGTGTCGTCGATGTGCGAGACGAACAGCAGATCAGCAGTGCGGTGGAAATGGCAGTGGAGCGATTCGGAGGTAGTGCCTGAATTCTGAAATGATTCTGAACCTTGGGAAAATAGAAGTGTAACTATAATTTTAATTTTTGATTTGGGACTTTTTTTTTCTGAGTCTTTGGCATAGAGTCAGAAATTAGTGCTTACTCAAAGAGGAACAAAGCTCAAAAAAAAACCCTCGTTTTTGTTTGTTTGTTTTCCATTTTTTATAATTCTATTTATTGACTCACCTTGAGAGCAGTTACAAAGCTTTCGGGTTTAAGTCTTTCTCATACAATGAAACACCCATACCTTCACCAGTGCCCATTCTCCACCACCAAAACCCCAGTGTACCCCCACCCCACACCCTCCCCCTACCTGTGGGGCAGATGATTTCCACATTACTCTCTCTACATTGATCACATTCAAGATTTTGACACCAGCCCCACCATTATTATTTGGGATTTTACCCCAACACTCAGATCTGCTGAAAAGGCAGCAGTAGACAGTTTGTTTTCTATTGCTGGTTATGAATAACCTATGATGTTATGTGGCTGCAGTAGTGGCCGTGCGATTTTGAAATTCCAAATTTGAACACTTCAATCTGGAGGGATTTCTGCCAAAACCTGCTGGGTTCCGAGATTTGTTCCTGAGTCTCTGGGATCATGGCCGTTAAGCAGCTTGATCAGATCCAGAAAGGCCATTCATGGGCGGAGACTCGGGGTCTCGTTGGGACAGGAAGGAAAGGGCCAGCTCCACCCCCATCCCGTAAGGCCCCACGTGTCTCGTCACTGAGGGCCCAAACTTGACTGGCCAGTGGCCTCTGGAGGATGGTGACCACCGAGCCACCTAGGGGGACCAGGCGGAGGGACAACGCCCTTTCCCCCCTGGGGTGGCTCAGCGACAGTAACCTACTGCGGGGTGTGGACGCATTTCTGCCAAAAGCCACTGGGTTTCGAGATTTGTTCCTGAGTCTCTGGGATCATGGCCGTTAAGCAGCTTGATCAGGAGCCAGAGAGGCCGTTCGTGGGCGACAACTTGGGGTCTCATTGGGGAGGAAAGGGCCATTCTGTGAGGCCCCACGTGTCTCGTCACTGGGGGCCCAAACCTGACTGTCCAGTGGCCTCTGGAGGATGGCAGCCAGTGGGCCGCCAAGGGGAACAGGCCAAGGCACGAAACCTATTCCCACCTGGGTTGGCCCAGCGCCGGTAACCTACTGCAGGGACTGCACGCATTTCTGCCAAAAGCCGTTGGGTTTCGAGATTTGTTTCTGAGTCTCTGGGATCATGGCCGTTAAGCAGTTCGATCAGGAACCAGAGAGGCCATGCCTCCAATTATATAGCTGAGCCGGAGGTGGTTTGTGGGTGTGTCTCCCACATACCTAACTTTTGGCTGTTTACTTTCTTGGTAAACTTTGCCCCAAGTTTTGGGGGTCTGGCCAAAGTCACAGCAGCAATTTTGGGGTATCTGGAAGTCTGAAGGCGCCATCAGGCTGCTGATGCTCTCGCCTCACAGGTACAGATTGACCTGCTGGCGGCACCATACTCCCAAAAAACTCGTTTTTAATTGCTAACAAATCCTCTCGTTTCTCTCCCCTTTCCTGAGACTCCCCCAGTGCCTATCCATCCACTGCCACCCCCTCCGCAGAGGATGCTTTATCTTTTAAAACCCCCACCTTCCTCTGTTTAAATCTCTCCTTGAACCCAGTTCCCTGACTTTATCCACTAATCCAAAGTCTTTTTTTCCCTCTGAATTCTGAAAGTGTTCCTTTCATTTTTGTCCTTACTCACTATTCTGTGTTCTTGTTTCCCCTCGCCCAGTTTCCCAGTCACTTCATCAGCTCCTAGGAGGCAGGTGTTGGAGGTTGAGCTACTGGCACTGCCATTATTACGGGAAGGCACCTCGCGTATCCAAATCCCGTGCAAAGCATCATCACTCTCCTCCCGTCTAATAGGCAAAAGTTCACGTGTACATGTACACAGGGGGTCTTTTGGCCACAGGGCATAAGGTGCCGCTTTAGTGCTAGAAGGCTTTTTTTGCGAATAGCCTCAGTGCAAAGCACTGTGTTCCACTGTACTGGAGCGTGGAGCTTTTGGGTCAAGTGAGGTCTCTTTAAATCCAAAAATTTGGGGGCTGGAGCGATAGCACAGCGGGGAGGGCGTTTGCCTTGCCCGCAGCCAGCATGGCCGACACAGGTTCGATTCCCAGCACCCCATGTGGTCCCCTGAGCACCGCCAGGATCAATTCCTGAGTGCATGAGCCAGGAGTAACCCCTGAGCATCGCCGGGTGTGACCCAAAAAGGCAAAATAAATAAATAAATAAATCAAAAATTTTACCAAGAGCTGGAAACCTTTCCCAAGATGATGTGAATGCTCATGTAAAAGAGAAGATAAAATGCAAAGTTAATACTTTTTATTTATTTATTTTTACTACTTGGGCCATGAAAGTGGAGGAGAAAAGACAGGAATCATATTCATGTCAGAGGCCTTTCTCTAAAATGACCTCACCTGCTCATCCAAGAGATCATCAGTGTCAAGATTTAGTTTAAAAGTTTATTCTGGGGGCTGGAGTGATAGTACAGCAGATAAGGCATTTGCCTTGCAGGTGGCCAACCTGGGTTCGATCCCTGGCATCCCATATGGTCCCCCGAGCACCGCCAGGAGTAATTCCTGAGTGCAGAGCCAGGAAAACCCCTGAGCAACACTGGGTGTGTCCCAAAAAAGCAAAAGTACGATAAAAGGAAGTAAAAAATAAATAAAAGTTCATTCCTTTTTCTTCCTTTTTTTCCCCCCTTTCTTTTAGGGGGTGGGGGTGGTTGGTCTGCACCTCAAGGTGCTCATGGCTTACTCTGGCTCTGTGCTCAGGGATCACTCGTAACAGTGCTTGGGGGCCCATATGTGGTGCTGGGGATTGGACCTGGGTCAGTTACATACCACACAAACACCTTCCTTGGCGTACTATCTTGTGGGCCCCAGATATCCCTATTTAAAGAGGAATTTGGAGGAGAAAGTGGACAGGGTCTGCTGACGCTTTTTCCTTTCCTCTGTTCATACAATTTTAGGGTTTTTTTTGTTTGTTCGTTGGTTTTTCTTTTCTATTTGGGTCACACCCGGCGATGCTCAGGGGTTACTCCCGGCTCATGCACTCAGGAATTGATCCTGGCGGTACTCAGGGGACCATATGGTGTATGTGCTGTCGAAGCAAGCACCGCAGGAGACCATATGGGATGCTGGGGATCGAACCCCGGTCAGCTACGTGCAAGGCAAACGCCCTACTCTCTCTGCTATTGCTCTAGCCCCAATTTTATTTTTGTTGATCCACTTTGTGTATTGGCTGAAGGTGAGCGTACCCTTTTTGGAGAATGATGCCAGAATGTCCGGAGGGGTTGCTCCTCTCTCTCTGAGGGCTTCCTCAGTCTTTATTTCTGTCCTGTTGTATCCATCCATCTTTCTCTCTCTCTCTAATATATCTATAATGGACCCCGGCCCTTTGAACAAAACACTGTAGCAATAACAACCAAGTACACAAAGGCCACGAAGAAACCCAGAGAGTTGAGAGGCACACATTCATATTTAACCATTTTCATTTAGCTAAATCTATAATTATAAACAATATGTAACGTATGGGTGGGGCTTGGGTGGAATATGCAGAAAATAATAGTTTCGAGAGGTGTTCTTACGTGTGTTACCAAAACAAGCTGCTGTTACTTTAACGATTGACCTGAAATAGAAACACTGGGGTTTTGATTTTTTCTTCAGTTCCTCAGAGCAAGGAGGAGCAGTTTCATTTAAATAAGAACCTTGAGGGGGCTGGGGGAGTTCTGTGCTCAGAGGAAGGAGGGCCTTTTTGGAAGGAAACCTGTGAGGAGAGAAAGCTTTAAGAAAGTTGAGTTCAAGTTCTCAAAGACAAGAAAGGAAGACTTGGGGGGTCGGAGTGATAATACAGTGGGTAGGTCGCTTTGCCTGGGTTCGATCACCAGCACTGTGCATGGTCCCTCAGCATTATCAGGAGTGACCCCTGAGTACAATGCAGAGTCAGGAGTAAGCCCTGAGCATCACTGGGTTTGGCCTAAAAACCAAAAAAAGTTTTTTAAAAAGAAGGAGGGAAGATGTGGAGATAAGAGAACTGATAGGGATGGAGGCAACACACCTGTAGGACAAAGCCTCCTGACAGTCTCACGTGGACCTCTGGACACTTGCTCAAGTCTCTGTTGTGTTTGTATCATTCCTGGGTACTTGGACACCGACCGACCGAGTTGTGCGTGGATTGCATTGGTGTCGTGTGGGTTACTCGGGATCATCTGAATTGTTTGTGAGTCACTTAGGGTTCAGCTATGTTGAGTAAATTTTTTTTGTTATACATTTAAATGATATTAATAGGAAATTGATTATTTGACAACAGGAATTGATATTTTGGTGAACAATGCCAGTGCTATTAGCTTGACCAACACGTTGGAAACGCCTACGAAGAGAGTGGATTTGATGATGAATGTCAACACCAGAGGCACTTACCTTACGTAAGTTAGTTAGTTGTAAGTTAAAGAGTTGTTGGGAAGAAATTGCAGTGTTTCCTTCGAGAACTGGTTGTAAATGGATTTGTACTAGATTAGCAGTGTAGTTTCAAATTTCCATAAATCAGATATAATCAATATTATAAATCACATTGCTTTTAAAAAAATTAAAAAGAATAACAATCTACCTAAATTTGCTTAAGAGGTCACAACCCTCCCCCCCCCCGGCCTGGTTGTGGTCCCCACAAAAATAACAATATTCATAGACATATTAAATCTGAGTCAGTTATTTCATAAAAGCCTGAAAGGATTTCTAGACAGTATTCTAGATAGTATTCAAAGTATAGGGGTTTTTTTGTTTTTTTTTTTTTAATTTATTTATTTATTGAATCACTTTGGGAAAAGTTACAAAGCTTTCAGGTTTAGGTCTCAGTCATGCAAATATCAAACACAATTCCCTTTACCAATGCTTATTTTTCACCACGAAGAACCCCAATAACCCCCCCCCACCCTCCCAATGCCTGTGAGGCAGATGAATTCTAGTAACACTCTACTTTGACTAGATTCATTGTTTCGATAAAAGATGCACCCTTATTGTTTAGAGTTTACACCCCCAAATCAGACATTCTGAAAAGGCATTGTGAAATGATTTGCTTTCTACAGCTGGGTTCAAGAATTAAATGATGTCATGCGGCCGCAATAGCGGCCATGCGGTTTTGGATTTCTGCTATTTTACTTATTACTATTAACGCTGGGAGTATTTCTGCTGAGAGTCAGATAATTAAGAGATTGGTTTCTGTGCTCTGGAGCCATGGCCGTGCCGGAGAGCCGCTCGTGGGGGGCAACTGGTGGCCTCGGTAGGGCATGAAGGACGAGCCGGGAACACCCCCCTTCCCAAGAGGTTTTAGTCACCCCATCACCGCTGGCTCATACCTGGCTTTCCACAAAGCTCCCAAGCGGCTGCCATCTTTCTTTCCAGAGGGAAGAAGGCGGAAGGGACCAACACCCTTTCCCCTCCGGGCAGACATGGTGGCGTGGATTAACGCATAGTCCGTTCACTCTTCTGCTGCAAGCTGCTGGGCTCTGCATTAAGTCCTTCCAAAGTATAGTTTTATATTCAAACTCCTTCCTTTTCTCTGTGTAGTTAATAAAGACTAAAGTATAGCTCAGACATGTTCAAATATGTGCCTGAGTAAATACACATATGCAGACTGTGTCTTCCAATTGCTCAAAGCCAGCAGCCGTGTCTCTTTCCTCAGAGAAACACTTGGGTTTTGTTTATATAAATAACAGAAGCTCGTTATGAATCACATTTTAATGGAACTGACAAACATACTGTCTTGGATAAAAGGAGAAAAAAAGTTTAAAAGACAGAAGGGAAAGCACTTTATTATCCTGGTCTGCTCCGGTTTGCTTGGGACACGTCTCTTCATTTGTCCCTTTGCTTATATGTTTATTGGCCTGTGGGTTTTTATCGCTTTTCATGGAGAGCTAAGGACACATCAACAGAGAACTTGCTTCTCTGCCTTGAAAGAATTTTTATGTTTCTCCTTCCTATGTAAACACAGGACAGGCGCTTAGGATCTTGGTCTTTGAGTTCGGCTCTTAGTAAGGTTGAAAGCCGACTCCTATGCTTCATAATCTCGTGCAAGTCACATAAGCTCCCGTGGCCTCTTTCTTCCCTTCTAAAATGGGAATGACATGGGGGTTAAGAGATAGTGCAGCAGGTAGGGTATTTGCCTGCACATGACTGACCTGTGTTCCATCCCTGGCATTCCATATGGTCCCCTGACCACTGTCAGGAGTGACCCCTGAGCACAGTTGGGTATGGCCCCAGACCGGAAAATAAATAAAATGCAGGTCATAAGGAAGGATAGGGCAGGAGGGGTACCGTTCAGCCAGGGGGGCGCATGCAAGTCACGAAGTACCAGGCCCAAGTTCGCACCCATGTGTCACATGATCCTTGAGCACCTCCAGGATACCTTGACCCACGCTGACCTGCATTGCCACGAAGCTTTTGTCTGGCCCAGTTGACTTGAGTTCCCTAGGCCCCCTGAGCACTGCTTGGCAAACGGCACCCCTCCCCTCCCCAGCCCCTTCCCCAAAAGAGGCATGTCCTAAGATTGAAAGTTGAATGTGAAATTTGAATATCACGTCAAATCGATATCACATATCAAAGTTGAATGTAAAGTTTGTCAAGTTCATCTTGAACTTTACCTGCCTCTCACCCAGACCGACACTCCAGTCTGGTTTTGCTCCCTCCTGACTTCTCGTCTATTTTTAATTAGTTGATTAGAATTATTAGTATTTGCAGTGATGGGGATTGAACCCAGGGCCTCACGCATGCAAGGCAAGAGCTCTGCTGCTGAGTTTCAGCCCAGGCCCTTCTTATTAGCCATTTACATGGAAAATTTCACCAGAGGGGCCCGGGGATACGGCTCAGCGGGGTGGATCATGTGCCCGGCAGACTTTCTCTACACTGTCGGTGTCACCCTGGAGACTCCTGAGCACCGCCGGGCTGACTCTGGTAGCCTCCAGCACCGCTCACCTGAACACTGAACCTGTAGGCCCACAAGGGTGAACCAACCGTGAAGGAGGTGGTCCAGTGCCACCCCGCTCCCTACCAGGACAGCTGAGGGTGACCCCTATAAAATTATTTTATTAGTTGCCAACATCAAAAAGAGAGGGAGATTTATGGGGGGGAACCTCAGATTTATGATCTCCGTTTGATACTCTGGGAAACCTGGACAGCTGCATAGCTGGCAATTATCTTTTATAGCCAAGGGGAAACATATCTACTGCCTCTTTCCTGAACTCTGGAGACAGGCTCAAAATTGGCCATTTGTCATCCTCTTTGCTCTGCTGCCCTCTTTTCTTTCTTATTTTTGCCAGGACATGGAGTCCAGGGCCCCAACAGTGCAACATGTGCCGTACTATTGAGTCCTGCCTCTCCTCTCCTCCTTCCCCTGCCCTCCCCCTCCCTCCCCCCTCCCTCCTTCCCCTCCCGCTCCCCATCTGACTTCCTCCTCCTTTCCTCATTTCCTTTGCTTCCTCTCTTTCCCTTTCCCTTCTTTCCCCTCCCTCCCCTCTCTCCCTTTTCCATTCTCCGTTTGCCTTTCCCTCTCCCTCTTTCTGTTCCTCTCCTGCAAACAGTGCTCAGGGGACCTCTGGGTCACTCCCCGTAACTCCCGGCCGAAAGGGCACCGTTCAGCGTGAGGGTCTAAGGATGTGGTGCTGTTTGGGCCCTGTGGTGCCAGGGATTACTCAGGCCTAACTGGGGGCTCTTGGGGGGCCTCCTGAGCGCCACTTGGCAATGCACAGATGACCGTGTGGCATTGGGGATTGAACCGGGGTTGGGCACAGGCAGAGCACATGCCCTCATGCCAGTACTAGCTCCCCAGTTCTGTGGAGCCATGTTTTTCTTATCTTGCAGAAGAAAATGAACTCTTCCTCCTATCCATGTCTCAGCCCTGAATGGGATGAGGGCTAGGGATCAGGCTGAGCAGTAACTTGCCTTGTGCGTGTGAGGCCCTGAGTTCTGTTTCTAGAACCTGTGGTCCTCCAGTCACCTAGGCAGGAATAGTTCCCTCAGATGGCCTGAAAAACAAAAACAAAAACAAAACAGAAATAGGAGAAGGAGGCTTATTCCAAGAGGGCCACGTAATCAAGTAACCCGAGTCAGAGTTCTCTTAGTTGTCGGTGTGGGCATATTTCTTTCTTTCTTTCTTTCTTTCTTTCTTTCTTTCTTTCTTTCTTTCTTTCTTTTTTTTTTGGAAGAAGCCACATACTAGGGTTGGAGTGAGGTGGGGGGCACACCCAGTGGTGATCAGGACTTAACTCCTTGTTCTGTGCTCAGGGATCACTCCTGGTGGGATTTGGAGAACCACATGGAGTGCGGGGATCGAACCCGGGTCAGCTGTGTGTAAAACAAGTGCCTTCCCCACTGTACTGTCTATCAGACCCAGACCTGAGTTTTCCTAAAAACAAATTGCTTACTTTAACAGTTAAAGTAATACTGTTTCCAAAAACATTGCACATTGGTATAAATTAAACTTGGAAGAGGATTGAAAGTTCATTTTTAAATTAGGTTTTGGGGTCACATGTTGCAGTGTTTGAGACTTACTTCCTGCTCTGTGCTTGAGATCACTTCTGGTGGTGTCATGGATTGAACCAAGGCCCACTGCATGCAGAGCATACACTCGGCCCTTTGAACGATCTCTGGGACGTGCTTGTTTGTTTTTTTTGGTGGGGGTGGGGCAAGCAGGAGAAGTAGCTCAATGATGGAGCACATGCTCTGTCTATACCATGCCCTGCGTTTGATTTTACACACACACACACACACACACACACACACACACACACTTTCCAGTTTCATTATAGCAGGACTCTACTAATATCAAATAAATCATTTGTAATCTAATAATAGCGAGTTTGTTTAATGTTTTAATATATGCATTGCTCTAAGTATCTCATTTATATAATCTTATTTAATACCTAATCAATCCTATATTAGCAGATATTACCAACATTCACACACAAGAAAACTGAGAATTAGAATGCTATAAATTTTTGCCCAAGGTCACTCAGTGAATGACAGAAGGAAGCACTGAACTCAGATCTTGAACACTCATGTTCTTCACCATCATTAGTGCTGGCAGTGCTAAAGTGTGTGTGTGTGTGTGTGTGTGTGTGCGCGCGCGCATGCGTGTGCGTGGACGTTAGCACACGTGCTGAGAACAGAAAATTTGGAAAGTTAAAGTTTGAAAACCCAAACCTCCATTGAGTTTACTGTAAATGTACCAAGGACTTGATTGTTTTCACTAAGCAGATTAGGTAGTCGGACCATCAAGCAAAGATTCAGAGGATGAGAATGACTTTTCCTGTCTTCATCCTGAAAAAGGTAAAAATAGACTAACAAGTGTACTGTCGAGATGACAGTCCACTTGGTTGCTGTGTATTTTAAAATTCAACCTGCAAGAGAGTCGTTACCTGTGTGATGTTTGCTTTCAGGTCCAAAGCATGTATTCCTTATCTGAAAAAGAGCAAAGTCGCTCATATCCTCAACCTCAGTCCACCACTGAACCTGAATCCACTATGGTTCAAACAGCACTGTGGTAAGTAGTATGCTGAGGGTCTGACTTTTGGCTTAATTTTTCTGGTATCAAAAATCAGTGATGTGGGGGCTGGAGAGATAGCACAGCGGGGAGGGCGTTTGCCTTGCACGCGGCTGCCCCAGGTTTGATTCCCAGCATCCCATATGGTTCCCTGAGCACCGCCAGGAGTAACTCCTGAGTGCAGAGCCAGGAGTAACCCCTGTGCATTGCCGGGTGTGACCCAAAAAGGACAAAAAAAATCAGTGATATAATCACAATTTATACATAGCAATCAGTATCGAATTTACTGGGTGAAATCATGAGCATTTTGAAAATTAAATTGCTGTTCCTTTACCCAATTGAAAAAACTAGGGTATAGTTTATTTCATATGATACACAGATCTTAATGTTCAGTTTGATGAAATTTGACAATATAAACATCTCTAGAACCAACCCAAATTAATATGTGAGTTTCCATTGTCCCAAAAGAACTCCCTTATAAGTTCCAATGGGTATGTCATATTACATTTTTATTATGTTATATTACATCATAATATATTTGTTTTGTTTGTTTTGGGTGGTGCTTAGGGCTTACTCTTGGCTCTGTGCTCAGGGATCATTCCTGGAGGAGTTTGGGGAACTGTATTGGATGCCAGGGATTGAACCTGGGTCCACTGCATGCAAGACAAGTGCCCTTCCCTAGTGTACTATCTCTCTGGCTCCTATATTATATTTTTAATATTTTACTCTATCTAATTATTATTTAATCACTGTCACTGTCCTCCCGTTGTTCATCGATTTGCTCGAGCAGGGCCAGTAACGTCTCCATTGGAGACTTTGTTGTTACTGTGTTTGGCATATCGAATACATCACGGGTAGCTTGCCGGGCTCTCCGGCAAGTGACGAAAAGTTACTAAATAGTTTGCCTTTCACAGACAATGAAGATTTTATGTGAGTTTGCTCACAAGATTTATCTTTGGGCGCCTCCTTTGAAATAGCTGCATGAACAGTTGGCCAAGGGCAGAACTAAAAAGTTGGTCCACAGACTGACTGTCATTCCCAGTCCCTCTCTTCAAGCCTCTCCCCGTCTCCTTGGTAATCTCAGTTTTACAACCCAGGGCCTTTGCTCAATCCTGTTCATTCTCCTGGATGGTCTCACTCCTCTGATAATGAGAAAAATAATTTTTGCTTCTCGATCTTTTTCGTTTCTTTCAGCTTACACTATTGCTAAATATGGCATGTCCATGTGTGTGCTTGGTATGGCAGAAGAATTTAAAGGTGAAATTGCAGTCAACGCATTATGGCCTAAAACAGGTATGTGCTTAAAGAGAGCCCTGTGTGCCAGGGTGTAAAGTCACAGTCTTCACAAGGCCCTGAGCTGGATACCAGATGCTGTGTGACCCCTGATCCCTCTCTCTGTCCTTCCCTCCTTTCCTGCCTCTCTCTCCCTCCGCCCTTTCCTCTCTCTCCCTCATCCTGCTTGGAGATTGCTCCCAGTGCTGCTTGGTAATCGTGTAGTGCCAGGGATAAAACCCAGGCCCCCTGTGTGTGAAGCATACGCTCAGCCCACTGAGCCATCTCTCTGGCTTCAAAAATGAACCCCAGATGTAGGAGAGATTTTATAAGAGAATGCTTTAAAAATCAGCCACAAACTCTGAACTCTTTAAAAACTACACCTTGGGGAAGGGGAATTTCGGAAGCAATTAAATTCTAAAGGGCTCATATGATCTTGGGAAGTTGGGAAAGAAAAATATTCTAACGTTGTTTCATCTGGGGGCAGCTATAATTTTAGGTGGTATTTTGTTTGTTTTGGGACCACACCCAGTGGTGCTCAGGGATTACTCCTGGTTTTGTGCTCAGGGATCACTCCTAGGGGTGCTCAGGGGACCATATGGGGTGTTGGGGACTGAATCTGGGTCAGCCATATGTAAGGCAAGTGCCCTACCTGCGTAGTGTTGCTCTAGCCCAAGGTGGTATGTTTTTTTAAAAGGTTTTCTAAAGTTCCATTTGGTATTGTGGTATACAGAAATGTTTTTCAATATTAAAATTATAGATAACTACCTTTGTATACTCTCTTATAGATTCTGATAATTTTGTGTGCACTCATATAGATAATAATACTAATTTCTTCCTTTCCAGTTAATTCCCCGTTAGTTTCTTTCTCTCATTCTTTTCCTGTGCTCAGTATTCCTCTCTCTCCCCCCCGTCTTCCTCCCCATCTTCCTCTAGGAGATTTCACTTGATTTTCTTGAGAGCACAGTAATCTTTAAAAAAATGTTGAGACCAGAAAGATAATAAAGGGCGTAAATTTCTTTGTTTGAATGTGGTCAACTCAGTAAACTTCTTGGCACTGAATACAATTCCTGAGCCCCTCCAGGAGTGATCCCTGAGCACAGAGAACCAGGAATAAGTTCTGAGCACTGCCAGGTGTGCCTCCCCACAAAAAACTTGGTTGTATATTTCGTTTTGCTGAAATTTCATTGCAACAGGGCAGTCGTTTATATTATCTAGTTTATCGTATTTCCAAAATCTGACTTGTTCTATCTATCCATTTTGTAAAAAGTATTAGGGATTTCGTCATTTTTATTCTTTTTTTTTACTTTTTGGGTCATACCCGGTGATGCACAGGAGTCACTCCTGGCTCTGCATTCAGGAATCACCCCTCACAGTGCTCAGGGGACCACATGGGATGCTGCACGTCGAACCCGCATCAGCCGCGTGCAAGGCAAATGCCCTACCCACTGTGCTATCGCTCCAGCCCGTCATCATTTTTATTCTTGCCTTCAGTCCTTCAGTGTGATTTGTATTTTCTACTTTTGCATCAGAGTATATATTAAAAACTGTATACACTCATGGTACATATGCTGCCTGAGCCCACGTGCTGCTTGTGCCCACGTGATCGAGCACATGTGGTGCCCGAGCACATGTGTCACCCGCATCTTCCCTCTTGAGATGTGTACTTTTGTGTCTAATGCAGGGATGTGTGTAGGGACTCTTTCTGCCCCTGGAAAAGCCTGTGTTCTCTTGAGTGCATTACTCTCTCTCTCTGTCTCCCTTACTCTTCCTCTCCAAACCTTCAAAAAACCAAAAATGTCCAAATAAAATCTGTTTTACTTCAAAAAAAAAATAAAACTATACACTTAATCTATTTAAGTGTACCAGCAAACAGCTCTCCTGTTAATACCAAAAACATTTTTTAGCAGATTCTCTGGTGTTTTTCAGGTTGAAAGTTTTTATCACAATTGTGGTAATTAAGTCTGTCTCTTTAGGCATATTCCTAATTTCTTTTCCATGTCTTACTAAATTAGCTAATGTGTTTGGAACAGTTTTGAATATAAATAATGTTAGCAGGCGTATTTCTTGGCAATGCTAAAATGCTTTTGTTTTTATCATAAAGTATATGCCGGGGATACAGCTCAGCAGTAGCCGCTTGCTTTACCGTGAAAATAAGCAAGAAAAAATACATATGTATTTAAATTTATTTAGTGTGTAAACACACAAAAAAGGACTGGCAGTGGGACGGCAGCGGCCTATCTCTCCCGCCGCCCACGTTCGGTAGTCTCAGGCAGTTTCCCCACTCCTGGGAGGTCGATGGCGATGGGCAGGTGAAGGAAGGAAACGAGGGCCAGGCTGGTTGGTCTTAGTAGCAATTTATTACATGGAAGAAATGTATGTCATGGAGGCCCCAGGATCTCTCAAGCACGTGCTCACTTGTTCTCTCAGCTTCTGTCCCCACTGGAGCGATAGCACAGCGGTAGGGCGTTCGCCTTGCACGCGGCCAGCATGGCCGACCCGAGTTCGATTCCTCCGCCCCTCTCGGAGAGCCCGGCAAGCTACCGAGAGTATTCGATATGCCAGACACAGTAACAACAAAGTCTCCAATGGAGACGTTACTGGGCCCGCTCGAGAAAATCGACGATCAACGGGAGGGCCTTTACCTTTACCTTTACCTAAGATCTGAAGAGGAGCTGGAGAAAGAATGCAGTGGGCAGGGCATTTGCTTTGCACCAGCCAACCCAGGTTCAATTCCTTGCACTCCTTATGGTCGCTAAGCCTCACCAGGAATGACCCCTGAGTGCAGAGCCCTGAGCACAGCCAGGTGTGGCCCCAGAAAGAAAAATAAACAAAAATAAAATATTTTCTGAAGAGCAATATTCTTTGTAATGGAGCAAAGAGTGATAGTGAAAAAGGTACTTGGAAACTGTTTTTCAAACTCCATGTCAAGACTCATTGGAGAATCATGAAATCAATTTAGTCAGGCATGAACTCAATTTGGTGTATTGTGAAATTGATTTACTGGGTAGCTGCCGAGTTTTGTTGTTTTGTTTTATTTATGATGGAATAAAATAAGAGAATATTAGCATTATGCAAGCTAAGAGTTGATATTCATAAACTTTTGTTTCCTATATAAATACCATATATAAATGAAATATGCATTTGAAAGTGTGTATATCACGTATGTAAAAAGTGTTATCTTTGACCACAGACACGAGAGGTTTAAAAGCTCACGCTTTCCCTCGTCTCTTTCCCGCTTCTTTTCTCTCTCATCCTTTCTTAACCTTACGCCCCTTCCACCACTGTCATCACTGTTACTAAAGTTGACGGTGAGAATCTGTCAGTTAGGAAGGAAGCTGTTTGAGGCAATAAATGCCTAAGATAAAATTTTACTTCTTTGTACCTCTCTTATAGTCCAGTCATTTATCTCCCAAACGTTTTTATATGCTAAGTCATAATTCTCTGTAGTATTTTATTCATTTCGCTTTCAACAGATAATTTATTAAGTGTTTACTATAGGCAAAGTATTGGTAGCATTACTATGAGTATGATACAGTCCTTCCCCTCAAAATTTGCCATCTTGTGGGGGTGTTGAAATAGTTTTTTATTAATGCATTTTCCCTTTCTTTCCTCACTTCCAAAACCCTAACCTTTGTTCTTTCTAACAAAGTTAGAAGAAGCCTAGTGTAACTATGAAAACTTCAGGTGTATTTTTATATAACAAATAGTTATTGCACACCAGTTATATGCCAAGCTCTGTTCTAATTGCTTAAGGTACATCAGCGAACACAACAGACGAGAATATCTACCCTTATAGAACTTAACAGTCTAATTGGGAAATACATAATGGAAAATTAATATAATGAATAATAAAATATACAGTATGCTAGAAGGTAATAACGCTATGGGAAAAATAAAGCAAGGTAAGGGGGATTGGGGAATTTTAGGTGTTGGGAGGGTAGCTTACAATTTTATTAAAAAAAATTTTTTTTGTTTTTTGTTTTGGGGACACACCTGGTGGTATTCAGAGCTTACTCCTGGTTCAGCAATCTCTACTCTTTTGGAACTTAACAGTCTAACTGGGAAATATATAATGGAAAATTAGCATAATGAATAATAAAATACACAGTGTGCTAGAAGGTAGTAATACTATGGGGAAAATAAAACAAGGTGAGGAATGTAGGGGAATCTTAAGTGTTGGGACGGTAGCTTACAATTTTATTTTTAAAAATTTGTTTGTTTTGGGGTCACACCTGGTAGTGTTCGGAGCTTACTCCTGGCTCAGCATTCAGGGATCACCCCCAGCAGTGCTTGGGGGGCCATCAGGGGTGTTGGGGCTTAAAACCAGGCTGACCTTGTGCGAGTCAAGTGCTCTACCCTTAACCCCATCTCCAAAGCCCCCCGGTTACAATTGCAAGTAGGGTAAAAAGGTCAGTTCTTTTTGAGGAGGTGACTTGTTTTTGATTTGTTTTTGGGGGAGCAGTGCCACCCCAGAGGTAGTCAGGAGGCCCAGGGGCCCCTGACTTGCCCACTTCTCAGGCAAGTGTAAGGTGCTCGGGGACCGTGTGGCAGTGCTGGGAGTTTTGAACCAGGCCCGGCCATGTGCAAGGCACGTGCCTTCAACCCTGTTTTGTCCTTCTGGCCTGGTGAGGAGGTGACTTTTGACCAGAAGCATGAAGTGCTGCATTTAGCCTGAGGAATATGTTATTTAACCATGGAGTATATCAGGGGTTGGGGGCTTAGGGAGATGCTGAATGCATAGCCAGTGTTAAGATCCAATGACGGGTGCATGCATGAATGATAAAAGGGCTTTGGGAAGGCAGATGCCTGGGGAGGAGCTGGAACAGTTGAGCTGAAGCCCACAGGGACTGTCGATCAGACATTGCAGGTCCTGACCATGCCTTGGCCTTTTCCTTGGAGTGAAATAGATTCGGAGCAGTGTAGGGTCCTTATCAAACTTTAACATTTCACAGACTCTATCTGCTCTGTTGAGAACAGTTTCTTGGGAGATATAGGGAGAAAGAGGGAGACCAGTAAGGAGCCTAATATAGCAACCTGAGCACAGATACGAGCAGAGGAAAGCAATACATGACAGAATTCTGAGAGTAGAACCACCAGAATCTCCTGATGAGTTGGCGTGGGATGTGGAGAAAGAAGAATCAAGGATGACCCCCCACCCCCATCTCCCCCCAAGGATTTTGGCTTGAATTACTAAAGCAGTGGAGGCACCATTAGTTGAGATGAGAAAGACAGCTGATGGGGTGGACTGGAGAACGGGCTAGGAATTCTCTTTAGTTCTTTGTGTTTGAGCACTCAAATGACAATTTTGAGTCAGTGGCTGGATTTGCAAGTGTGGGTGTCAGGTCCAGGCCAGAGATAGAAATTTTTTTTGTGGGTTATCATTATATCGAATGTACAGAAAGTTACAAAGCTAGATGATTGTATGGGAGGGGGATTAAAAGAAGTGGTGGAAGAAGAGCAAGATCCTTTGACCATCCCTACAATAAAGCAGTGGGAAGAAGAGAAAGAACTGATATCAGAGAGGAGTATGTGAAGAAAATAGAGTATGGTATCCCAAATTGTAAAAGAAGGTGATGTCCAGGAAGAGGGAAGTGGTGGATGATATCAAATGCTGCTGACCGTCCTTGTAAGCTGGAGATTGACTATTTGCTGTAGTTTTCTGTAGCTATCCTGCTCATCACTTACAGTGTCTTGCTAGAACCAGAGCTGCTTAAAGGCAGATACAGCATCTGATTTGTAAATTTTGTTGGAGTCACTGTAGACATCCAGGAAACAGTTGATGAATGAATGTGCAAGTTAATTACTTTCTGCCCTGCTTTGGAACAGACATCTGCGGGACTGTGGAGGATACTGTCAGGATTGGCAGGAGAAATCAGTTCCCCACCAAGATCTGTGCCTTAGTTTTGCGCTGTTTATTTTAGAAGGGCTGGAGCGATAGCACAGCAGTAGGGCGTTCGCCTTACAAGCGGCCAACATGGCCAACCCGAGTTCGATTCCTCCGCCCCTCTCGGAGAGCCCGGCAAGCTACCGAGAGTATTCGATATGCCAGACACAGTAACAACAAAGTCTCCAATGGAGACGTTACTGGGCCCGCTCGAGCAAATCGACGATCAACGGGAGGGCCTTTACTTTTACTTTTACTAGAAATCTTAGTAGACGGGAACCATTGAGCTTCTTTGGATTCTAGACTTGATGGCATGGTAAGTTCAATTTGCAGCCATGGTTCTTTTTGTTTTGTTTTGGGAACACATATGGCAGTGCTCAGGGGTTACTCTTGGCTTTGCACTATGGAATCACTCCTGGCAGGCTCGGGGGACCACATGGGATGCCGGGGATCGAACCCAGATTGGCCGCGTGTAAGACAAGCACCTTACCCACTAGACTGTTGCACCAGCTCCCTCAGTGATAGTTCTGCTTATTCTATATGTAAATTCATCTATATGATGAATTTTATATAGGCTAGCTTGAAATAGTAAAAGGGGTAGTTTGCTCAGGCTGAAAGTCAGAAAAGCAGGCTTTTTGTTGTTGTTTTCTTTAAATTATTTTTATTTCCGTCTTTAAATGAAAAAAATAAAACTTTTAGGTCACACCTGGTGGTGCTTAGGGCTTACTCCTGGCTCTGTGCTCAAGGATTACTCCTGGCAGCACTTGTGGGTACTGGGAATTGAACTTGGAGTGGCTTTCTGTCTCCCAGAATTTTTTTTACCAGTATTTTTTTTTTACCTGAAATAAACAACTAAAATAAAACCTCGGGGAGGGGGGTTGCTGGAGTTAGAAAGAAAGACAGCTGGGCAAGGCTTTCCTGGCAGAGGGTACAACTCTGCCAGAGAAAACAAAGGCGAGGGTTTGAGGAAAAAACACGCTTAGTGACACTCGGGAGTTTGATACTGTGTGTTCGTGTGATAGGATGCAGGTTTTGTATGATTTTTATTTTCATTTTCCATGGAACTCAAGCAACTTCAAGTAGTTCAGGTCAAGCGATCCAGGGGGCAGAGGGGTTGTGTGTTGTAACAACAGAGCTAACCCCTGGGTCTTGTTTGCTGAGTTTTGGAGCTTGAATTTTAACCTACACTCAGTGGCGAGCAGAGGAAAAATGGGAGTAGTCGATTGATTCCTTGTTGATGAGATTTTCGGGAATTTAATTTGACATCTGAGTGTAGTAGGACTTGTCGGATGGCGGAGAGAGGAGACAGGAAAGCTAGCAAGATTATTGCATTATTCATGATTGAAGCAATGAAAATGGAAAAAAATGAAAATGGATATGAGAGGGTGTCCAGGCCCCTGTCTATTTCAAAAAACACTTATTTTCCCCTTATGAGACTATGTAGAGTGGTAGCTAGAACCAGAAGCAATAGCCCAACATTATTGCCCTTCCAGGAAAAGGCCATTTATCGGTGTGTTTTTTGGTTTTGGGTGGGTTTTGTTTGCTTACCCAACATACTCAGAAGTGCTGAGGGTTTACCTCTGGTTCTGGACTCAGTGATCACTCCTGGAGGGCTCAGGGGACCATATAGGATACGGGGGATCGAACCCAGGTCTGCTGTGTGGAAGGCAAATGCCCTGCCCACTGTGCTACCTCTCCGGCCCTGCTGGTTTATATTTAACAAAATAGATTGAGTGTAACATAAATTATATACAACCAAAGCAGTTTCTTCATCCACTGTGTGGACAAGTGTCTTCTCTACCCAGGCTAAATTACCCCTCCTTGCTCTGTAACTGTTGCCTCACTGAGCTCGGTTCATCCAAAGAAAGGCCCCAGTGCATCCAGACAGCAGGCTCAGATGGTGGGATTAGACAGAGGACTCAGATAGTGGGCTCAGACGGCAGGTTCAGATGGTGGGCCCAGACGGCAGGCCCAGACAGGCTCAGACAGTGGGCTTAGATGGTGGGGTTAGACAGACAGCTGGTTCAGACGGCAGGCTCAGGTGGCAGGCTCAGACGGTGGGCTCAGATGGTGGGCTCAGACAGTGAGCTCAGATGGCAGGCTCAGACAGCCGGTTCAAACGGTTGGATTGATGGTGGGCTCAGACGGCAGGCACAGACAGTGGGCTCAGACTGGGCTCAGATGGTGGGCTCGGATGGCAGGCTCAGACAGTGGGCCAGACGGCGGGCTCCGACAGCAAGTGTCTGGTATTTTCAGAGCATGGGGATCTCAGGCACAGTGTCTGGGGTGGCCTTGGCTGCTGGTGAGTTCCCCAGGTACCACCAGTGTGATCTACCCCTCCCCCCAGTCTGTCACCCCCTTATGATGTTAAGGTGACTTGTCAAAAAAAATTATAGAAAAATTGTTATAAAAATTGTGTTCGGTGCAGCACAAAATACAACAGGATATGGGAACAGCAGCAAATAAACAAAGAAATTGTGGTATATATACACAACATTGCTGCTTAGAGAGAGAGGGAGGGAGGTAGGGAGAGAGGGAGAGAAAGAGGTAGTATCTTGCAGTTTGTTGCAACTTGGATGGAAATGGAGGGTATCATATGAAGTGAAATAAATCAGAGGGCAAATCCAAAATGATTGCACTCATCTGTGGACGACAGAGAGACAAAACAAGGGAACAGAGAGCATCCAGTGATGACAAACGCTTGACCTTGGCTTATAAAACTGAGATTGCCAAGCAGTGGCAGGGACAGCTGAAGGAAATGAAGGCCACTCTAGAAGTGACATGGTGACAGTGGTACAGGAACTCGGGCATCTGAAGGAACTGTGCACATCGAAATGATAAGTCTTACTGTTATGATGTTTACCTTTGGTATAATGATAAATTATAATTCATTATTATAATAAATTATAATAAAATGAACAGTAGCTCAGTGTTCTGTCTGTTAATGCTTTGCTGGTTTTTTGACACTCAGAACTGGTTAAGAAATGACAAAGGGCTTTTTTTTTCTTTTTGGGTCACACTCAGCGATGCACAGGGGTTGCTCCTGCTTTGCACACAGGAATTACTCCTGGCGGTGCTTGGGGGACCACATGGGATGCTGGGAATCAAACCCGGCTCAGCCGCATGCAAGGCAAACGCCCTACCCACTATGCTGTCACCCTAGTCCCCCCGCCCCCCGACAAAGCGCATTAAATAAGAAGCCTCCCTGCGTCTTGCTATGAGTGGAGTTTAGGACCAAGCAGTGCCCTGGAAAATGAGGAGCCCGTGTTTTCTCCCTACTGATGTCTGTAGAACATTAGAGAAATGCTCTGAGAAATAAAGAAGTGAGCGGGGTGTGTATGTCACTTCCGTATTACTCGATTTGAAGTCAGTGCATGTTTGTGTCCTGTTTTTTCTCCACAGCCATCCACACAGCCGCAATGGATATGCTGGGAGGCTCTGGCGTTGAAAGCCAATGTAGGAAAGTTGACATTATTGCAGATGCTGCATATTCCATTTTCAAAAAGCCCAAGAGTTTTACTGGCAACTTTATTATTGATGAGAATATTTTAAAAGAAGAAGGAATAAAAAATTTTGATGTCTATGCAATTAAACCAGGTAATGCTTATAGTTTTAAAACATATGATAAATGTGTTTTTCCCACATTTTCTGCACTCAGCCCATCTGTGCCATACGCCTCTTGGTGTGTTTGTAGAATTAATATGTTCTCCTAAAAGCTTTCTTCCCAATGAAAGGGAAAAGTCACAACTTTTAAAAAGACATAACTTTAAAGAAGGAAAAATAGGAGATGAGGACTTTCAAAATGTTCAACAGAGACAAAATATCACATCAGCACCTAGCCTTTTTCAAATGCTGAAACTAGAAATGCAGATGAGTGAGTTTTGTTCCGAGTGAGGCCTCCCAAGAGGTGATCATGAGGGTCAGGACGTCCACCAGAGACCATGGAGCGCTGGAGATTGGACCAGGATGGCCACACAGAACGGCATCTGCCTTAACCTTTGTACTGTGTCACCAGCCTTGAAAATCAATGTTTATGGGGCTGGAGCGGTAGCACAGCAGGTAGGGCGTTTGCCTTGCACACAGCCAACATGGCCAACACAGGTTCAATTCCCAGCATCCCATGTGGTCCCCCGAGCACCGCTAGGAGTGATTCCTGAGTGCATGAGCCAGGAGTAACCCCTGAGCATCACCAGGTGTGGCCCAAAAAGCAAAAAAAAAAAAAATTAATGTTTAAAGTTGGTCTTAACAGTTACAGAGTGAATATTTTATTTAATGACATACAGTAAGAGATGTAACAGTAATAACAGTAATTCTTTTTTTTTTTTTTCAATAAAACAAGTTTAAAAATCCTTTTTTTTTTTTTTTGTGGTGCTGGCAATTGGACCCATTTCTCATGCATGCAGGGCAAGCACTTTGCCACTGATCCATGTCCCCAGCCCTTTTCAAAGCCCCTTATTGGGGTAAGGAGGACGCAGTTGGAACACACCTGGCTGTGCTCAGGGCTTACTTCTGACTCTGTGCTCAGGGGTCACTCCTTGCGGGGCTTGGAGGGACCTTATGGTACCAGGGATCAAACCCAGGCCAGCTGCTTGGAAAAGCAAGTACCTTACCCTCTGTACTAGCTCTCTGGCCCCTCAAATCCTTTTTAAGCTGACGGATGATTTCCAGATGTTTTGTCTCCGAAGTCTGAGTTGCCGAAGGACGGATGGTGAAGGTACGTGAGCAGACTTGTGTACAAGGTTATGATTTGAGAAGTTCAGGTGAGGTTATTTGTGCACGTTCCTCTTGCTCAGAAATCCTTCTCCTCTAAAACTGAAGATGAGGACTATGGCGATAGCATAGCAGGTGGGGCATTTGCTTTGCATGCGGCCAACCTGGTTTGATTCCCAGCATCCCGTATAGTCACTGAACATCGTCAGGAGAAATTCCTGAGTGCAAAACCACTAGTAAACCCTTAGCATCATTGGGTGTGACCCCCAAATCCAAAGAATAAAAAAATAAAAGTAAAGAAAATTGAAGATGATAATGGTGATAGTGCACTTTCCACTTTATAAAATATAATATATCCACAGTTATAAATATAATACTTTATAATAAACAGTATAACTATCATTTAAAGTTATGTTTATTTGTACTAAAGGATGTATGTGTATTATATGTATACATGTATGTATATATATATGTATGAATTTGTTTATTGTATGTACCATAGATTGAACCCAGGGCCTCATTCTGCAAAGCATTAAAAGTATAAATACACAGTTTTGTAGTATATTTATGTATATAGATACATAATGAATATTTATGTATATTAATGTATGTATATAAATGTGTATGTGTGTGTGTGTGTTTTGAGGGCACAGCTGGCATTGCTCTGGGCTTACTCATGGCTCTGTACTCAGGAATCACTCCTAGCAGGACTGGGGCCATGTGGGATGGCAGAGATCGAATCCTGGTTCACTATGTGCAAGACCACCGGCTGTACTAGCACTCCAGCCTCTAAAAGTATTTTAATAGTATTCATTAGAATAGTATTCATTATGTTAAGCACCTAGGTGACAGCAGCCGACTGTTTATATTGGTGTCGATCATGTTTGACTCTTCAGTTTCAACCAAAATGAATTGAATCACTCTTCACCATTCTACAGAGCACTTTTGTGTGCTGTCTCTGTGTAACCTTCGTAGGGATGCTGTGAAGGGAGCAAGTACTGTTGACTGATCAAGAATGTGAACTTTGGTCTGGGAATGTAGCTCAGTGCATGCTTCACATGCCTGATTCCCTGATTTGATCGCTGGCACCCTCCCGTTCAGTCCCCAGAGAGAAAGAATATGCAGTTTAGGGGAAGTCAACTGCATTCAGATCGTAGCTCAGCCCCTCACAAACTGTGCAGCATCAAACTCATCACCCACTCTGTCTGAGCTCTGCTTCCTGGTAAAATGAAGGAAATGGTACCTTCCGCGCAGGATTGTTAAGGAAGTAAATGCAATCATGTGTTTAATGTGGTTGGCATAATGCCAGGCACGTGGTGCAGCCTCAGGATTCAGTAGTGATTATTTATAGTAGGGAAACAGGCTCAAAGAGGGACGAAGCCTCCGTCGAGAAGCCCTCCGCTAATAAGCGGCAGACGCTGAACCGCATCCAGGTGTTCTGGGCTCTGGGACAGTGCAGTGATCACTTTAGGTTTTTAAAGACACAGTGCCGCTCTCCACAGAAATTTAAATCTGAGTGAAAAACTGAGCACTGAGAACTTTGTATGGTTAGGTGGTATAGTATTAGGTATATCAAAGACCGGGGCATTCCTGCCCTCCAGTTTTTAAATTTCCTATGAGGGAAAAGAGATGGAGATGGGAAATGAGTTCTTCCTGAGGAGTCCCTGTCTCTCAGCGTACCAGGTAAGACCTGAAGGGATGGAGGGAAGAGGATTACCTGGATAGGTGAGGAAGGCGAAGGCTCCTGGGAGAGCACTTAGGGGCTGGTGACTCTGAATCTTCAAGGTGCATTTGCCGTAGGAGAGGAAGAAAAAAGGATTGTAGGGAAGATATCTTAACATAACAAAGGTTAAGTGTTTTGACAGTTCTCCTGGGAGTCTCCTTGCTCAAGAATGAATGATTACTGCAATTTTAAAAACAGACAAAATAGTTAACAGATGTTAAAAGTTTCTTTCTTTATAGTTTAACTTATTGTATTAATGTGATTTTCTTGGCATCCCATTTTTCAGGCCACCCGTTGTTACCAGATTTCTTCTTAGATGAGTTCCCAGATACCGTTACCCAGAAAACGGAATCACGTGGTAAGAGATAGACCGTGTTCTCGGCAAGGAAATAAAGATACTGTCTTAATGTGTTTCTTACCAAATACAGGATCAGACATTTCTGCCTTCTGCTTTTAAACCTTTTTTTGTTTTGTTTTGTTTTTTGGGTCACACTCAGCGACACACAGTAACACAGGGATTACTCCTGGCAGTGCTTGGGGGACCATTATGGGTTGCTGGGAATCGAACCCAGGTCAGCCGCCTGCAAGGCAAATACCCTATCTGCTGTGCTGTCGCTCCAGCCCCGTCTGCTTTTAAACCTTTTTACTGTTTCACGGCTTGGCTTTGTAGTGGGGACTCATTTACTTTTCCCCATGCGTTTTTAAAATTTAACGTCAGAACTGTGATTCGCAAAGTTATTGACAGTCAAGATTTAGGCATATAATATTTCAACACCAATCCCACCACCAGTGTCCACTTCCCTCCACCTGTGTTCCCAGATTCCCTCCCCACCCACAAGCCCCAGCCTATCACCGCCTGCTGCCTTGACATTACAGAGTTCCAGGGCTTACAGCTTAGGGCTCATGTTTTCCGTGTCTCTGAGTCTGTGTTTGGGTATCTGGCTACACCACTCGTCCCCGCTGTCACTGAAGCCTGGATGTCTGTTTCCCTGCGACTTCCTCTGCTCTTATTTCCCCACCTCCGTGCTTCTCTCTGAACACTGGGCTCTTTAAATTAAAGCCCCCCTTCCCATTCGTTTTTGTGGTCGCCCTGTTCCGGGGTTGTGTGCACTTGGTTGGGGTGCTTGCACGCGCTTGTTGTGTAGTGCTGGCAGTCACAGCCTGCACTGTGCAGTCCTGGGTCCCGGTTTGTGCTCAGTGTCAGGTGGGGGCTCGGGGTTGGTGCTGGAGATGGACTCAGGGTCTCAGTCTTGCTGGGCTGGTGCTTTCCCACCGACTGTTTCCCGGGTGCCCCCCCGCCCCACAGCATTTTCTAATTTAAATTAGACAAGTAGGACTTAGTCTAGCAACAAGACTTAAAAAAAACACAACCTTTACTCAGAAGAAGGTCCTAATCTCTTTTCATATGAATCAGTAATTCTCAGTGGTGGAGTACATACCTCCTATGTTTGAGGTCCTAGGTTCTGTCCCCAGCAACACCACGTTCGTACATGTGCACACACAGGATTATCTTCAAAATAATACTCTATTAAAGAGTATTCTTCCTTCTCCCCTCCCTCCCTCCCTCCCTCCCTCCTTCCTTCCTTCCTTCCTTCCTTCCCTCCTCCCTCCCTCCCTCTCTCCCTCCCTCCCTTCCTCCCTCCTCCCTCCCTCCCTCTCTCCCTCCCTCCCTTCCTTCCTTCCCTCCCTTTCTTCCTTTCTTTCTCCTTCCCTCCCTCACTCCCTTTATCCCTCCCTCCTTTCTTCCTTCCTTTTTTTTGTATTTTGGTGGAGTTGTGGGGGCTTAGAGGCCATACCCAGCAGTGCTCAGAGACTTCCTGACTGTGCTCAGGAGGAACCTCTGGCAGTGCTCAGGGGACCCTATGTGGTGCCTCGGGTAAGATTGGGGCGGGAGGGGGGTGGGTAGAAGTTCCAACTAAACGGTTTCTGCAACCGAGTGCAAGTGAGTGCCTTACGCTTCCTATGCTATCTCTCTGGCCCAAGAGTTTCATTCTTTTCTGGGTCTTTAGATGGCTCTTGTTGACATGTTTTGTTTGAGGACAAATGAGTCGCATCAGAGCCTCAGAGTACGTCTAACCCAATGTTGGGGCTTAGGCTCTGAGACTGTCTCATGGGAATAACTCAGTTTAAAGGCAGTTTTAACTTTACTTTGCTTTATTTTTATAATTCGGAAGTAACGAACCCCTGAACTGATCCAGAGAACTCTCAGGAATCACTCCTGGTCGTGTACGGGGGACCAAGCCCGGGTAGGCCACGTGCAAGGCAAGTGCCTTCCCCACTGCACTATCACTCCGGCCCCTGGTCTCTGTGTCTTGGCATAATGCCACTAGCTTGCCAGAAAGATGTTAGAGGAAACGCTTCCGAGTGAGTATCCAGGAGATTTCCGTGGTTCCGTCACAGTGGCCATGAAGGGCCTGGGATGTGGCCCAGCAGTAGAGCGCTCACCTTGCCTGTGCGAGGCCCTGGGATCAGGCACAGCGAAGACTTAGAATGTATATCCATCTATCTGCGTTCTGTATTTTGCGTGGCTGGAGGGCCAGCTTAATAGATTCGAGTATAAGCTATGCATGCAGGAGGCCTGGGTCTGTTTGATCCCTGGCACCACATGGTCCCCCAGGCACCACCAGGAGAGGTCTCTGAGCCCCCAGCCAAGCTATCTCTGGAGCACCATATGTCAGGTGTGGTTTCAGTTTCTCCTCCACCTCTCCCTCACATCCCCTCCCCCCCCCCAAAAAAAAAGGCTGTGCTGCATCCAGGTACTTAGATACTGAATTTCCAAATGATTATAAAGTGTTTTTTGTTGTTGTTTTGTTTCCTGAGGACCACCCTGGCAAAACAAAATAAATCTGTTTTATAAATGTTTGATATCTATACTTATTTTATTTTTTCACTTATTTGGTTTGGGGCCACACCCAGCTGTGCTCAGCCTGCTCCCAGGACCAATGGGGTGCCAGGAATCAAACTAGATGGGGTGCTGTGGATAGAGTCCAGGCTGGCCATGTGTTACGCAAGCACTTGACCCACTTTGCTCCGTCTCTGGCCCCTGTATACCAATTTTATAGACAGGATGGTGGAAATTTTTCCTAGGCAAAAAGAGGTCTCATCATGGGAGATGATTAAGAAGGCCTGCTGTAAACACTGGCTCTCAGCCTTTTGACCCCCAAGCCACAAGATGTTGAAACTTCTGCTTCTTATCCTTGCTTGTAAATTGTAGGTGGCAATCCCAGATGTGACCACATAACTGAATGTGGGGAATCATAAAAAAAAAAAATCACACTTGGGGCACTGGAATGACCGTATAGCAGATAGGACACTGACCTTGTACACAGCTGACCCGGGTGTGATTTCCCACCCTGAGCGCCACTGAGTGTGGCTCCCACCAACAACAGACAAACAAAAAATGACAACTACCAAAAATCAGCTAAAAATCCACCGTATAAAAAAATCAGTCCTAGAAGTTTCTGATGGTGTTTACCTGTGTTGCATTTCTCAGGCAAAAAAAAAAGGGGGGGGGGAGACAAGTGGTAAAGGAAGCCCTGCTTTAGATGACTGCTGAAAATGGCCAGGACATGTTTCCTCCAGACGTTTAGCAATTTCTACACAAAAACTTGTAAAGTGTATATTCTTTTTCTTTTATCGGTGCTGGGGGCTGATCCTCTGGGCTACGTTCCTTTCTAAATGCCAACATTCTCTCTGTTTTTTGTTTGTTTGTTTGTTTTCCGGTGGCCATGCTTGGGAACTGTTTCTGGCTCAGTGCTCTGGAGTGACCTGTGCCAGTGCTTGGGGGTCCAACCAGGGCTGACTGCACTGCAAGGCAAATGCATTACTCCTGTACTAATTCTCTGGCCCTAACAGTTTGTTTTTTTAGTCTTTATTTTGTGTGCGTGTGGGGGGGGGGGGGCACACAGCAGTGTGTAGGACTTATTCCTGGTTCTGTCTGTGCTCAAGGGTCACGTTTGGCCATGCCTATCTTCTTGGCCCACCAAAGCCTAGATTCTTGGGCTGGGAGGTGGATCAGCACTAAAGTGGCAAGCGCCGAATGCATGAAAACCTTGCTTTGATCCCTGTCATTGGAGGAAACACATATTATGTTTATTTTTTTTTAGTATTTTTTGTTAGGTAAGGTAAAGGTAAAAGGCCCTCCCATTGATCGTCGATTTGCTCGAGCGGGCCCAGTAACGTCTCCATCGGAGACTTTGTTGTTACTGTGTCTGGCATATCGAATACTCTCGGTAGCTTGCCGGGCTCTCCGAGAGGGGCAGAGGAATCGAACTCGGGGCGGCCATGTTGGCCGCTTGTAAGGCGAACGCCCTACCCGCTGTGCTATCGCTCCAGCCCACGTTTAGGTCGCATGTTTAGAATAGAGTTAACTGGGGCTGGAGTGATAGCACAGCGGGTAGGGCATTTGCCTTGCACACGGCCAACCCGGGTTTGATTCCCAGCATCCCATATGGTCCCTTGAGCACCGCCAGGAGTAATTCCTGAGTGCATGAGCTAGGAGTAACCCCTGTGCATTGCCACATGTGACCAAATAAATAAATAAAATAGAGTTAACCTTTTTTTTGGGGGGGGGTGGCTCTACCCTGTGATGCTCAAGGGTTACTCCTGGCTCTGTGCTCAGAGACCATTCCTGGCGGTGCTCAGGGGACCATACGTGGCAACAGGAGTGAGCCTGAGTCTGCATGTGCAAGGCAAGTGCATGACCACTGTACTGTTTCTCTAGCCCTAGGGTTGACTTTTCTAATTTAATGTCTACAGTGACTTCCCCTCGCCACCACCAAAGTGCCCAACACCCCCATTTTTGCCCTTATGTTACTTCCAGGACACCTCATTGTCCCTCCTCATTCCACCTCATCACTCCCCCTACTTCCTTGGATTTCTTAGTTCTCATCCAAGGTCAAGGGCTTTGTTATCCCTTGGTGCTGCCCGTCCCCTTGTGTCTTTAAATGCCACGTCTGAATGAGATCATCTGTATTCGTCCCTGTCTCTCTGGTTTATTTGCCTTACATGATACCCTGCAGTTCTAAGTTGCAGTTCAGCCGTATTATTTCATCTTTTCCTATGACTGCACAGTATACCATTGTGTTTGTGCGCCTCAGCTTCTTTATCTGTTTTGTTGTTGGGTACTGTGGTTACTTCTGTAAAGTCCTGCAGTGAACATACAGGTGCATATATCTTTTTTTGTTTTTTTTTTTTGTGGGGGGGCGGGCAAGCCCGGTGATGTTCAAGGGTTACTCCTGTGTTCAGGAATCACTCCTGGAGGTGCTTGGGGGCCAGTATGGAGTGTCAGGGATGGAGCCCAGCCCTATCCACTGTACGATCACTCCAGTTCCTTTTTTCAAATTAAAGGGGGGGAAAAAAAAACCTTTATTCTTAACCAGGAAACTTAAATTGCTTTCCTAACACCTGAATACTTAAAATTTCTTTACATTAGCATATATTCCCTCCAGTAATCCAATTTATTAATTTGTAATGAGGAGTTGCCATCTCCTCGACTAAACTTGCAGTCGCTGTGATCAGCCTATTCCTTCCCTCTGGGCATAATTACATAGGAAACAGAATCATAATCAGAAGGCTGTTATTTCATGACCATGGAATCAGAACAAGAGCAGTAAAATGTCAGATGGGTGTTTAGTGGCATTAGGCTTTGAAATAGGAATGATTTTTGCCTTTGGGATGGAAATCCATCAAGTTCATTCATCCCTCGGTCCATCTGCACGTGACAGATGCCCTCCCCCCTTGACATCAGACTTCTCACGTTCCTTTGGCTTTTCACTCCCAGTGTTGGAGAGAGCTTATTTCCATAGCTCTCTCCTCTGCACCTCCCTGTTCAGTCAACTGGACTTCCTGACATTTTCTGTAGATTTGATCATGTGTTCATTTAGCCCCTTATCTGTGGTGTGGGGTCTCAGCTAGCACTTCCTTGGTCCAGATCTTTTAGGTGTTGGTTTCTTTTCTTCTTATTTTGAATCCTTTTTTTTTTTTTGGTTTTGGGGCCACACCTGGTGATTCTCAGGGGTTTCTCCTGGCTTTGCACTCAGGAATCACTCCTGGCTATGCTCAGGGGGCCATATAGGATACCGGGGATCTCACCTTGGTCAGCTGCTTGCAAAGCAAACACCCTGCCCTCTGTATTACTGCTCTCGCCCCCTAGATGTTGGTGTCATAGCTTACGTTGCAGAGGGCCATGTATCCCCTTCATCTCTGTCGGGGGAGAAATTCAGCTTTCTGTCGCATCCATTACCTGATAAGCCAGTTAATGTTCAATTATACCTTTTCCAGTATCTGTGCTATGTATATTTTTATAGACCATATATGGTAATTATGTAATAATTACAAGCTACGTGCGCAATTTTAAGTTTCAAATTATAGTTTGTTGCTATTATTGCGGTACTTGGAGCTCATACAGGTAGTGTTTGAGGCTAACGCTGTGCCCACTGGTGTTCTGGATGGGGTAATCTTGAGGGACCGGGAATCTACCCCAGAGCCTTACATATGTACCTCATGTACCTTATCACTTGGGCCATCCCTGAACTCAAGCACATTTTTGTTTTGTTTTTGTTTTTGTTTTGGGAGGAGGTCACACCCAGCAATGCTCAGGGGTTACTCCTGGCTCATGCACTCAGGAATTACTCCTGGCGGTGCTCGGGGGACCATATGAGATGCTGGGAATCAAACCCGGGTCAGCTGCGTGCAAGGCAAATGCCCTACGCACTGTGCTATGGATTCAGTCCCATCATGCACATTTTTAAATGAATGCTTTGCCTTTTTTGTCTTAATAAAGCAAAGTCATTTATTCATGGAATTCCAGTTTGGGAACACAGAGAATCCAGTTATCTGTTACTTTTCATTTAATTTTTTTTACAGTGGTATTTATATTGTCTTCTTTCTTTCTTTCTTTCTTTCTTTCTTTCTTTCTTTCTTTCTTTCTTTCTTTCTTGCCACACCTAGCAAAGCTCAGGGAATACTCTTGACTCTAGATTTGGGAATCGCTCTTGGCAGTGCTTCAGGGACCATATGGGGTATCTGTGATGTAATCCAGGTCGACCACATACAAGGCCAGCGCCCTATCCACTGTACTATCTCTCCAGCCCCATTTTTTTTTTTGCTTTTTGGGTCACACCGGTGGTGCACAGGGGTTACTCCTGGCTCATGCACTCAGGAATTACCCCTGGCGGTGCTTGGGGGACCATATGGGATGCTGGGAATCGAACCCGGGTCGGCCGTGTGCAATGCAAATGCCCTACCCGCTGTGCTATCACTCCAGACACTCCAGCCGCATTTTTAAACTTTCTGTCTTTCATTAACATTTTAGTGGTTTTGTTCCCAGTTATTCTGCTTATCCTGTGCAGAGCTCTGAGCATGCCCCCCTTCCATTTGCACCTACACTCATCCTCTCTTCCTGCTTCCATCTTTTTGGATTCTCGCAGATCTTTTCATTTGTACTCTGTGTTACTGATGAGATTTTGTAGAGTTCCTTTTCTTTATTGTTTTGGTAGACTAGGAGGGAAATGAATAGAGACCTGCCTTTACCCAGTCTTCTCTCCTAGACCTTGTCTTAATGTCCCAACAGTTATTGGAACAGGAAAGCTGCCCTGAATGAAACTCTACACTTTGGTTTGATTTTTTTTCTTTTTTATAAGTTTATTTATTGAATCACCGTGAGAACATTTATAAAGCCTTTGGGTTTAAGTCTCAGTCATGCAATGATGAAACACCTGTCCCTTCACCAGTGCCTGTTTTTCACCATCAAAAACCCTAGTATATCCCTCATCCCACATCCTCCCCCTTCCTGTGGGGCAGATGATTTCCACATTACTCTCTCCCTACTTTGATTACATTCAATATTTCTACACCAGACCCACCCTTATTATTTGGGATTTTACCCTAACACTCAGATCTGCTGAGAAGGCAACCGTAGACAATTTGTTTTCTATTGCTGGTTCTGAAAAACATGATGTCATGTGGCCGCAGTAGTGGCTGCACGGTTTTGGAATTCCAAAATTTTACAATTAAGTCTGGAGGGATTTCTGCCAAAACCCTCTGGGATCATGGCTGTTAAGCAACTTGATCAGGAGCTAGAGAGGCCGTTCATGGGTAGCAACCTGGGGTCTCCTTGGGGCGGAGAGGAAAGGACCAGCTCCATCCCCATCCCGTTAGACCCCACATGTCTTGTTACTGCAGGCCCAAACCTGACTGTCCAGTGGCCTCTGGAGGTTGCCAGCCACCAAGCCACCAAGAGGGAGCAGGTGAAGGGTCAGCACCCTTTCCCCCCTGGGGTGGCCCTGCGCCAGTAACCTACTGAGGGGACCGGATGCATTTCTGCCAAAAGCCGCTGGGTTCCGAGATTTGTTTCTGAGTCTCTGGGATCATGGCCATTAAGCAGCTAGTCTGGAGCGATAGCACAGCGGTAGGGTGTTTGCCTTGCATGCAGCTCAGCCCGGCGGAACCAGGTTCGATTCCTCTGCCCCTCTCTGAGAGCCTGGCAAGCTACCGAGAGTATCTCGTCCGCATGGCAAAGCCTGGCAAGCTCCCCGTGGTGTGTTCAATATGCCAAACACAGTAACCACAAAGTCTCAAAAATGGAGATGTTACTGAGCCTGCTCGAGCAAATCGATGAGCAACAGGAGGACGGTGACAGTAATATGTATTTGTTTTGAAATTCATTTTTTTCATAGTTATTTTATTCATTTCACTTTTTTTCTCTCTCTTTTTTCTGGGTGTACGTGTGTGTGTTTGTTAGGGATGAGGTGAGCCAAGCAGTGTTCCAGAGCTGGACGTCACTCCCAGCTGTCCCGGCAGCCCAATGTGAAGGCCCAACAGTAGGGGGCTACTCAGACCCCATGGTGCCGGGGACCACCCCAGTAGAGCTGGGGAGGGGTCACCAAAGTAGACCCTGGCAGGGTTTAAACTGAGTTCTTTGCATTTGAACAGCCTCTGAGCACTGAGCTATTGCCCTAAGCTCTCCCCTCTGTTTTCTCTTCCTAAAATGTATTTTCTTCCCTTTTTCCCACTGAAAGTGAATGATTAGCAGTGGGGAGAACATTTAAAAGCTAATACGTATTATGAAATATCCTTCCAGAATTATATACCCCCTGGCTTTCTATAAATACCTCCCTTACTGCACTGTCAGTATTAAATAGTGGAATACATATCTAAATTTTAAAATTGGGTTTAAGTAATACTATCTTAGGCAGTGTGCCCCGTTTACCTACATTAGTTTACACTTGGAGAGTAAATTTAATTTCAAGGAAACAGTCGCTTTGCTCAATATAAGCATTACAAAGATAACAGAATGTTAGAAATCATCATGGGAAATGTTTTTTTTTCTTTTTTTCAAACCCAGCAGGTGAAAAGGGACTAGGATCTAACGCAAATGTTATGTTTCCAGGTTGTAGGATAAAATCTGTACGTAGTGGGCCGGAGCAGTAGTGCAGTGGCAAGGGCATTTGCCTTGTACGCGTCTGACCTGGGTTCAATCCCAGGCATCCCATACGGCGCCCCGAGCACCCCAGGAGTAATTCCTGAGTGCAGAGCCAGGAGTAACCCCTGACCATCACCGGGTGTGACCCAAAAGAAGAGAGAAAACAAAAGCAAAAAAATACGTATGTGGCTTTGTTGGCATGTTCAGTCTTATTATTAATTTTGTTGTTTAGTCAGATTGACCATCTAAGCTAAAGTAATATCTATCCTCTTCTGGTTCCTGCCTTTTTTTCTTCACTTATGAAATTACTTCAGTCCAGCCAGTCATTTAATTTTTCCCTGTATTATGGAATCGGCTGTCTTCTCAACAGCTATCATTAGCCCTTCTGCTGCTCGTGATTGAATCCTAGAGTCTGCTTTGAGAATGGAGCCTGCAGGTTTCCTCTGCAGTAGAAAACTTTTTCCAGGGTTTCTGAATGGCAGCTCTGTATGCCTTTGTTAATTCCAATTTCTCCTTCAAGGCATTTAAAAATCCAGCCAGCCCTGCCTAGCCTTGGTTTTCACTTGTCTGCTCTATAAGGTTGCAGTCTTTATTTTCTTTTGTAATAGAAATCACTACTTTCCTTTTTGTTATTAAGTATTTTTTTTCTTCTGTAAAAATGTTACGGAAAAAATTATTTTATTTATTTTATTTTTAAAAAATTTGTAAAAATTTACAAAGCTGCATATGTTTGGGAACATAATGCACATTACATCCCCACCAAGACACCAGTAGCTCTCCACCACTGTTCATTGGACCCTCTGCCTCTGCTAGCGTCAGTCCTGCAGTTAGAATACAGAATCCAGAATCCAGTCCAGGGGCTGGAAAGATAGTACAGCGAGTAGGATGTTTGCTTTGCACGCAGCCTACCTGGGTTTGATCCCGTGTAGTCCCATAAACACCACCAAGAGTAATTCCTGAGGGCAGAGCCAGAAGGAAGCCTTGAGCTCCACCGGGTGTTGCCCCAAGACAAAAAAATTCAAATAAATTTTAAAAAAGGAGAGTCCAGGCTTACCAGAGGGCTTTCCCAGCACCATTTGTTACTAATACTGTATGCTTGGCTCCTTTGTCATAAATTAACTGTTCATTTTATCTCTGGCTTCTTGGTCCTTTTTCGTCGGTCTTTGTGCCTATGATTTTGATTCCAATACTGTATTCTTTTATTATTATTATTATTATTTTTTGCTGTGTAGTGTGATTTAAAGTCACAGAATATACGGCCTCCATTCTACTTCTAAGGATTGCTCTGGATATTGGTCACCTCTGTGTAGTACACAACGCTTGTTTTGTTTGTTTCTGGGTGCTGTTCGGGGCTTACTCCTGGCTCTGTTGCTTGAGGATCACTTCCGGTGGTGCTTGAGGACCCCTGTGTGATACTGTGAATCGTAACTGGGATCAGCTGGGTACAAGCAAGAGCCTCACTCCCTGTTTCATCTCACCAGCCCTGACTTCTAGACTTTTTGGAGTCAGTGTCATTGTCCTCCCGTTGCTCATCAGTTGGCTTGAGCGGGCACCAGTAACATCTCCATCTGTTTTTGGCATATCGAATAGCCACGAGGAGCTTGCCAGGCTCTGCTGTGCGGGCAGGTTACTCTCAGTAGCTTGCCAGGCTCTCCGAGAGGGACAGAGAAATCGAACCTGGGTCCGCTGCGTGCAAGGCAAATGTCTACCCACTGTGCTATCGCTCCAGCCCTTTTTGGATGTATGATGTGAAAATATTTTCTTCCATTCAGTAAAATACCTTCTTTTTTTCTTTTTTTTCAGTGCTAGTTTCTATTGCTATGTAAAAGCTTTTAGTTTGCTCTAGCCCCATTTGTTTATTTTTGCTTTTGCCTTCCTTGCTGGTTTCTTTGCTGGTGAAAGGCAAGTAAGTCCCCAGAGACATTACTGACATCATAAACAGTTCACATTTTGTCTCTGCACTACACAGGTTTCTTGCGATGTGTTTGCTGTGGTCTCAGAGAATGATGTCTTCATACAGTGACCTAGAAAATGTTCCCTTCTCTTGCTTTTTTTGGTAAAGAGTTGATAAAGGTTTGGGTAGCATTAAAAAAAAAACAAACAGAAACTTTTCTTGACTCCATTTATATGAAAGTAAAAATAATATAAGATCAATCCATGGTGTTGGGTGTCTGGATAGTCTTTTAGGTAGCAGAGGAGGGGTAACCATTGGAAGAAAGCCTATGATAGACTTTGAGGGTGCTTGTAAAGCCATTTTTGTTGACATAGGTGGTGATTACACAGTGTACTCACGTCCTATTAGCTTCCTCAGCTGTATAGCCATGATCACTATGTAGAGACGTCATACATGAATTAAAAGCAGTGCTGCTTCCAAGAACGGGACTGTCAAAGTTATTTTCCCTGGGTGCAGGAAATAAAGAGGCATACTGTTTGTAATGAATTGAAATACAAACACTGATTTAAAGTTTAAAAAAAAATGTATATTATCTTTGCTATTGGCAGTGATCAAGAGACCATATAGGGTGCAGGTCAGTAAGGCAGTACATACAAGGCAAGCACTATGCCTGCTGGACTCTTACCTGTTGGGCCTAACGTAGGTCACCTTAAAGGAGCTGGGGAGAATTTCAAAAGGCTGGAATACATCCCTGCAGGTGGAGGGCTTGTATTTGACCCCCAAATACTGCTTGGAATAGCCCCCAGGCTTCCTGAGCACTGCATTGGAGGTCTCACCTAAAAAAAAAATGATACCTTATTTAGGGGCCAGAGAGATAGTACAGTGGGTAGAGCACTTGCCTTGCATGCAACTCGCCTGGGTTTGATTCTCAGCACCACTTACGGCCCCCTGATCCCCACCAGGAGTGATCCCTGAGCACAGAGCCAGGTGTGATTCCCCCACAGAAAGAAAAGTGAAAGAAAAACATCCTTAACATTTGCTTGAACTTTAAAGAGGAGGATAAAGGATTTTCTGTTTATCTTATTTCTCTCTGGAAGATAATGGAATGTAATTTATATTCACCAAATTGGGATACTTTTATATTGCTTATGTTGTACTGTGGAGTATCCTTCTGCAATCAATTAGCTTTCATTTAAAAACCTGTGGTGAGCCATACTGGGGGAAATGGGTATAATTTGAATTGGAAATGGAGAGTTTAATTTTCAGCCTAGTGTACAGATTGGCCATGGAGTTAACTTCATTAATGAATCGTTATTACCTGCTCTGGGGGCGACTGCCAAATTGACCGTAAGTGATTCTAGGAGGATTATCAGAAGAATTGAGCTTCCCGTCTCGCTTTCTGAGCTGACTGGTCTACGTGTTGCGTTATCTTTACTTTTTAAAAACTGTTTAATTGAATCACCATGAGATACACAGTTACAATGCTGTTCATGTTTGAGTTTCACTTATGCAGTGTTCCATCACCTGTCCCTTCACCAGTGTACGTTCCCCGCCACCAGTGTCCCCTGTTTCCCCACCCACCCACCCCCCTGCCCCATCCCTGCAGCCTGTCTAGATGGCAGATACTTTTCTTCTCTCTTGCTCTCCCTTTCTCTTCCTCCCCTCCCCCCCACCTTTCTCATTTTCCTGTTCCACACTGTAGTTGCAATTCTGTCACTGAAAGGGTATCACGCATATCACTTCACCTCCTTTCAGCACCTCGGCTCTTGTCCAGAGTGATCATTTTCCAACTATCGTTGTCATAGTGGTCCCTTCTCAGTCCTCCCCTTGGGTGGCAAGGTTCAGGCAAGTCATCCTGGCCCTGGTTTCTACTGTCTTTGGATAAGAGTCACATGCTCTGGTTGTGGGGGTTTCTGTTTTGGCCTGGTTTGGTTTCTGTATCCTGCAGATGAGTGTGATCGTTCTATGTCCGCCCTTCTCCCTCGGACTCATTTCACTCAGCATGATGCGCTCCATGTCCATCCATGTATAGGAGAATCTCATGACTTCATCGTCTTCACTCTGCTGAGGCATTCCTCGCCTCTGGAGGAAACGGCGTCCTCCGTGGACTGCCTCCGCTCTGCTTCTCTCTGGTTGCGGGGCTCGCACACCCTGCTCCCCAGAGGTGGCCCACGTGGTCGCAGAGCGCCAGCCAGAGCGCACTGTGGCAGCGCCAAGGGTCCCACGTGGTCCCCTCCAGGCCTCCCCGGGTGCTGCCAGGATTCACGATCGCTCTCTGCCTGCGTGGGGCAGTGCCAGCGGTCAGGCTCCAGTTTGTAAGGCGGGAGGAGCTCTCCCCTGGGGCGGCTTCCATCCCGGGAGGCTGGGGACTCGGTGGACAAGCTTAGAGGTAGAGTATGAAGTGGCGGGGCGGGACTTATGCCCTTTAGGCTGTAAATTATTGACGCGTCTAATATTCCACAGGCGCTGCTCCGGAACCAAAGGAAGAGAAAGCGAAGCCAGCACCCAAGCGAGGATCCGGAGCTGTGGAGGAGACATTTAGAATTGTTAAGAACTCCCTCAGCGATGACATTGTTAAAGCCACACAAGCCGTCTATCTGTTCGAGCTCTCAGGTGCCTGGGCTTTTATGAAGCAAAGGAGATTGTCCTGGCAAGAAACCAGCTTCCTCCTCCCCTTCCCTTTCCCCTTCCTTTTCCCTTTGCTCTGCAGTACTACTACTGGTAATGCGTCCAGCGTATAACATCACTGCCCCTCAACTCACTCCTGACAGCCAGCTCCCTCTGCCACTGCCCCTGGCCCTGGGTGAGAAGCTCCATGAAAGGAAGCCAGTGTGGTCTGTGCTGGACCCCGAGATGCCCGTGGTTGGCTCAGCTTTGGCAGGGGCAGAGGAGCAAGTGGCAGCCTCTGCCCAGGCTCTGAGAGGCCTTCCAAAGACCACCACTGGCCTCAGCTGGCCCAGCTGGACTCCTGCTCTGAGAATGCGGTAAATAGGGCCACTTGAGATGTGTCTGAAGAGATGTTGGGTGAGACCATCAGCGACTCTGGGAGAGCACAGTTCCCCAGTTCACATGGGCAGCTAAGCTGTGCCTGGTTCTTTGAAGAACATGAACTCTGAAGTTGATCGGGAGATTTTTATTTTTTTTTTTTTTGCATCACACCAGGCGGTGCTCAGGGGACCAAATGGGATGTGGGGAATCGAACCCGGGTCGGTCGCATGCAAGGCAAACGCCCTACCTGCTGTGCTATCGCTCCAGCCCCGCAATCAGAAGATTTTTTAAACCCACAGAGACGAAAAAAGAATAACTACTTTCAGCTTCCAGTAGAAATCACCTGATAATTGCCTGTGACTGAGGCAGACATGAAGGGTTGGAGAGACAGTTACAGAAGTTAAGTGCTTGCCTTGCAGCTGATCCTGGTTCAGTCCCCAGCAGCGTATAGGGTCTCCCGAGCACTGCCAGAGGTGACCAGTGAGAACAGAGCCAGGAATAAGCCCTGAGTACCACTGGCTCTGGCTCGGTCCCCTACTCCCTCCAAAAAGCATTGATGAATAACCAATTACTATTGATTTTTTTAAAATTTCAGATTAGTGCATATGTAAGATAAAGTTTTGTTTCAGATATTTGCAGTATTAAGTAACTCCTTGCCATATGTAATTGGGAGAAATCCTGTTTATAAAGGCATACAGATCGTGACAGGTAGTATAATACATTAAATCATCATTAGCACTTTGTCATTCTTATCTGAGGTTATTAGACTCACTTGGAATGTATCGGTTTTTAAAAAACCTATCAAGTTGGGGCTGGAGCAACAGCACAGCGGGTAGGGCGCTTGCCTTGCACGTGGCCGACTCAGGTTCGATCCCCAGCATCCCAGATGGTCCTCTGAGCACTGCCAGGAGTAATTCCTGAGTACAGAGCCTGGAGTAAACACTGGGCATTGCTGGATGTGATCCCCCCCCCCAAATATATATATATATATCAATTTTTTTAAATACAGTATTTACATATGTCAATAATTGTTTTGAAAACTACCCCAGTTCTATTGCAGATATTGAGGTGGTCTGTTCTTCTGTCCTTTGTGTTTTCTGGCCTCGTTTTAGTCCATCAGGCTCTTCCGCTTTTACTTACTTCTCTACCTTAGACCCCTTCTTCCATTGCTTTATTCTCCCCGGCCTATGTCCTAAACCAGCGTCCGTCACCCTTTTTGGACTGTGGCCTCTTCCAGCCTCGTTTCCTCCCTGTGACCTTCCTCTCACCACTTGGCTCCCTCGTCTTCATGCCATGGCCCCTCGTGTGCACAGTTTTCACTTGTGGCCCCCTTGGAATATCCTTGAGGCCCACGGATGGGGGTACAGATGGCTCCCCACTGACAAACACGGTCCTGCACTTCCTAAGCCGCCTATTGTTCTTGCCGCCTGCCAGAACCCTATTTTTAAGTGGAGCAGATCATCCAATTGCCTGACGGTTTGTATCCAGACAGTTACGTCATGCTGGAGGGATGATTGAAAGCTAAACAAATCACATCACCTAGTGGACCTGTAGCATCGTCCTCCCGTTCATCGAGTTGCTCGAGTGGGCACCAGTAACATCTCCATTGTGAATCTGTTGTTACTGTTTTTGGCAGATGGAATATGCCACGGGGAGCTTGCCAGGCTCTGCCATGTGGGCAGGATAGTCTCGATAGCTTTCTGGCTCTCCAAGAGTAACGGAGGAATCGAACCCGGGTCAGCCGCGTGCAAGGCAAATGCCCTACCTTCTCATACAGGCCCACCCCACTCCACTCCACTCCACTCCACTCCACTCTTGGGGCTGGAGTGGACCTGTATGAGCAGAAATTCATCATCACTCCTCGTCCCTGGGGGACTAGGAGTGTCTCAGCTTTCTTTGCTGCCCTGGTCCTCTCACTGCCTCTTCATCATGGTGACTGTTGTCTTCTCAGTGTTCTGCAAACCTCCCATTGCTCCTCTCCCATCACCACTGCCTTGCTGGTCTCAGCCGCTCGTCATGCCTCCACACTCGCATTGCTGATAGAAGCCTGCAGACTCACAGCTGCGACTTGCTGCCGCCTGATCCAGCTCTCCATCAGTGTGTCTCCATCAGTGCCTCTAAGGCTCATACAGATCGCCTAGGGTCATGGGAAAAGGCAGGCTCTACTTGAGGGGAAGTCTGGAACTCTGCATTTCTCAGGGGGGATGAAGGTAGCACAGTCCTTGTATCACGTTGAGTAGCGAGGCTCTCAATCCCATTTCCTCTGCCCTCTTCAGGGTCTTAGGCTACTAATGGTGCTTTCTAGGGGCCGGGGAGATAGTATAGTAGGTAGGGCACGTGCCTTGCACGTGGCCAACCCAAGTTTGATCCCTGGTACAACCTGTGGTCCCCTAGGCCCACCAGGAGTGATCCCTGAGTGCAGAGCCAAAAGTCAGTTCCGAGGACCACCGGGTTTAGCCCTAAGGAAAAACAAACAAAACAAAAAATGGTACCTTCTCTTCCACCTCTGTCCCAATGGTATCTTAGCATTCTCAGTCTCTTCCATATATTTCAGAGGTGGGGTGGGTTGGAGGTCTTACTCCTGGCTCTGTGCTCAGGGATCACTCCTGGCAGCTCTCAACCATATGCTGTGCTGAAATCCAACATGGCTATATTCAGAAATTTTTTAGCGTTGCCACATTTTTTTCATAGCCCTCACATTTCACACATTTTATTTTGTGTCCCATATAAGGTCGCAGCAGACAGTTTAAGAATCTCAGAATGATGGGGCTGGAGCGATAGTACAGTGGGTAGGGCGTTTGCCTTGCACGCAGCCGACCCAGGTTCAATCCCCGGCATCCCGTATGGTCCCCCAAGCATTGCAAGGAGTAACTCCTGAGTGCAGAGCCAGGAGTAACCGCTGAGTATCGCTGGGTGTGACCCAAAAAGCAAAGAAAAAAGAATCTCAGAATGAGCCAAAGAGATAGTACAGCAGCAGGGCACGTGCTGTGCATGTGGCTGACCCGGGTTTGATCCCTGGCACTACAAATGGTACCCTGAGCACTACCAGGAGTGATCCCTAAGCATTGCCTGGTTTGGCAAAATAAAAGAGGGATGGGGGAAGGGTGGTGGATGTCGTAAGCAGAAAAGGTATATTTTATTGTGGGCACCACATCTGAAGAGGCTTGGATTGGACCTGGGTCAGCTGCATGCAAGGCAAATGCCTTTTCTGCTGTCCTATCTCTGACCCACAAGTGGAAAAAATTTAAAAAGCCACATGGTCTCCTGAGCACAGATCCAGGTGTGCTCCCAGCCCTTCCCCCCCAAAGCAAATAATAAAATATTATTTTATATAGTCATATTTTAAGGCTTTAGGTCATTCCCCTTCCATGGCATATTCTTTAAGATAAAGTTAGATTCTGCTTCTGATGCCTCCCGGGCTCAGCTGATACCACTCTCCAGTCCTTCCTTCCCTTCTCTGCTACTTTCCCTTCTTCTCACTGCTTCTTGCTTAACTTTTCCGTCTCAACACCAGTTAAGCTGTCCTGGCTCCACCTTACTCTCTCCATCCTTCTTTTTTTTTTTCTTTTTTCAGAAGAACTGTGTTATTTGCTGACTCTGGTTGAGAACTGAGGATCTTTACCCTGGGTGACAGCATTACCTCAAATGATTATGATAGAGGCCATTGTTAAGTTTAAGAAGCACAGGGTTTCTTTGGCATTTATTGATTATTCCTTTTGTCTTCAATGCAGGTGACGATGGGGGAAAGTGGTTTCTGGATCTGAAAAACAAAGGTGGGAACGTTGGCTCTGGAGAACCCTCCGACCGGGCAGATGTGGTGATGAGTATGTCTACTGATGATTTTGTAAAAATGTTTACAGGTAAGTTTTCAATTTGGCTAGTTTTGTGGAGTGCTCATAGAAAATGGGCTTCCTTGAAATTTTGGCTCCTTGAAAATTCCATTTTCAAATTGCTTGAAAATTTGGTTTTATTTTGCTTTATTTCCAGAAGAATCTGTAAAGGCGTGAGTAGTAAAGTCCTAGCAGCTAATCATGTTGAGCACAGTCTTGAAAAGACAATTCTCACTGTTATCTTTCCTTTGTCTAATAAATGGGGAACACAGAATTTTTACACAAGCGAGGCATTAGTAAGATAGTATTGGGAACAGGTAACTAATTCCTAAGGACTCTCCCATGGGCTTCATTTCTATAGTCTGACTAACGTCTCATTCCCAGTAATACCTTGGACACAGGCAATGCCAGACTGAGCTGCAACTCCTCCTCTGAGAGCAAAGTCTTGTCTCAGTTTTGCCACAGCTGGCACAGAGTGGCCTCACACTTTGCTTTCTGGGAATCCCTCAGTGAAAGAAGCTTGTATGTAATTTTCAGTTTTGTCCGTGAACTTGTAGCTGCCAGAATAAATGAAAGGGTGCTTCCCCACTCCGCTTCCTACTTAGAGCACAGCTCCGAATGTTAGGTTAATTAACACACACATACTTACTACACGCAGCACTTCAGAGCATGTAACAGTCTCAAACTTCTGTTCTCTAACTTAATGTTCTGAATGATCTTTAGTCTTTTGTTTTAATTGTTGCAAATTGGGTATCACAGTGTAGTATTACAGGAGCCAGTCTGTAAATCATACTAATGGCAGAGGTTTCTTCAACTTTTCCCTTTTTTTACATAATAGCATTAAATATTTATAGCTTAAACATTAGAAAATACACTTGGGAAAATTATTGGTTTGTTTTTGGGCCACACCCAGTGAGGTGCAGGAGTTACATTTGGTGTTGCTTGGGGACCACGTGGAATGCCAGGAATTGAACCCTGGTGGGCTGTGTGCAAGGCAACTGCCCTAGCTGCTGTATTATCTCTTTAACCCTAGAAAATTATTTTTATTGCAGTATTAAAAGATGAGTTTCAATAGATCCAGAGACTATAAAACAAAACTCCCAGAAATATGCAGCCTCATATGCGGCCGCTCAGCCTCTTATAGTCAAGTTCTCCTTCTCGGAGAATCTGGCAAGCTACCGAGAGTATCCTGCCCGCACGGCAGAGCCTGGCAAGCTCCCGTGGAGTATTTGTTATGCCAAAAACGGTAACAATGATGTGTCTCATTCCCCTGACCCTGAAAGAGCCTCCAATGTGGCACCGTTGGAAAGGACGAGTAAGGAGAGGCTGCTAAAATCTCAGGGCTAGGACAAATGCAGACGTTACTGGTTCCTACCCGAGCAAATTGATGAATAACGGGATGACAGTGATAGTGATGTATATATATAAGTATATATATATAAATATTTTTTTTTTAGTGAAAGTTGGGCCACACCTGGCTGTGCTCAGGGCTTATTACTAACTCTACAGTCAAAGATCATTCCTGGCAGGCTCAGGGGACCAGATGGGGTGCTGGGAATTGAACTCTAGTCACACGCATGCAAGACAAGAGCCTTTCTGCTGAACTATCTCTCTAGACTGAATTGTAATGTCTTTTAATATTAATAATCATTTTAATATTATAAGATATTTTTTAGTTTTTAAAAAATAATTTCTTCATAAAACTTAGGCAATGCTTTTTAGACATGCTAGACAGCACTTCTCAGTGGGGATCATATGGCCCCTGATGGGCCCCCAGAATATTCCTATAGGGCCACAGATAAAAATCATATAAATGGGGCGGGGCGGGGGTGGTGGTGAGGGGTGTGGGACTCATTAGGAAAGAAACAAAGTCATAAGGGAGCCACAGATGTTTAATGGAAGTTTGGTGTATTTGGCTTTTACAAATATGTAATATTGTGAACTTAAAGACCATTTAAAATGAAAATTTATTATCAATTTCCAAATTATAATTACAATACTTAGGGGTAACGTTTATTATTTAATTGCTATGTATTGAGCAATACTTCCAACAGTGCTTTGAGATAAATTCTTTTCTCCATTTTATGAAAATGGAAACTGGGTCTTGTATTAAAAATAAAAACAGGTGACAGATTGAGTAATCAGATGTTGGAGTCATGATTTGAATCCAAGCAAACGCCCAAGGCTCCTGTTCTTTAAGTCATTATACTATTCTACCTTCCAAGATAGGAAAAAAAAAAAAACTAAGTGATTTCTTTAAAAAAAATTTTATCAGGGCTGGAGCACTAGTACAGCAGATAGAGGGATTACCTTGCACATGACCAACCCACGTTCAATTCCCGCATCCTCTATGGTCCCCTGTGCACCACCGCCAGGAGTAATTCCCTGATTGCAGAGTAAGGAGTAACCCCTGAGCATTGCCAGGTATGACCCAAAACCAAACAAAAACCATTTTTATTGTTACTGGAGTAACGTGATTACATTAGTATAAATGTTGGTTTTGGGTGGACAAAGTCACTGCACCTCCACCACACCACCAAAGTGTCAGGCATCACTGCCCTGGGTCACTAGGAATCCACCATCAAGTGGCTTCCTGTCTTTGCATTTTATTTATGTTTTGTATATACTGACAGTAAGTGCATTTTCCCCCCACTTATATTGTCCTGTGAAGGTGCTCCTGCAACTAGAGGAGGTCATTCGACTCAATGAGGACTGCAGATGACTCACGAGTCAGGCCTGAGCATATGCTCTGCATATTGGAGCCCAGGTTTAAACCCCAGCAGCACATTATCTCTGGAGCACAGCGGAGAGTGACCCCTAAGCCTCGAGCCAGGAATAAACCCTGAGGACAGCAAGATGAGCCCCCCTAAAAAAGATGAATTTTTTTTTAAATATACATCTTAAGAAATAAACATCTTAAGGTTTTTGTTTTGGGTTTTTGTTTGGTTTAGTTTTGGTTTTGGGTTTGGGTTTTGGGGCGATGCTCAGGGATCACTCCTGGCAGGCTCAGAGAATCACATGTGCTGCCAGGGATTGAATCTGGGTTGGTCGTGTGCGAAGCAAATGCCCTACTCCCTGTACTGTCTATCACTCTGGCCCCTTAAGATGCATATTTTTTCAATATGAGATTAAAACATGCATCTTAAGAAAGTAGGTTTTTGGGGGTTTTTTTTTTTTTTTTGGTCTTTTCCTCTCCCACAGGTAATCTCCTTCAGGCATTTTTGGGTATTTCTTCCAATATTTAACTCCTTGTTACTCAGTGTTTCTCAGTGCTGTATTTTACACCTAGCTGCTTTCTTTTCTTTACATTCACTGATCTAAGAGACTGGTAAGACTTCTGTCTCTCACAGCTCTGTGTTTCTGTTTTGCCGCCTCTCATGTAGGTATTTATGATAGATAGCCCCTCCACAGAGGTATTTTACCATTGGTGCCTTAAATCTATACTCTTTAAATTATTATGATTCTGGAATAGTTTCCTTGCTGAGTCAAATAATATACAATTATTATGCTTCTTCTCAGAGAGAACTTTTCTTTTTCCTGGAACTAATTGCCCAATTTCCTCCCATTAGAATAGATAGAAACTAATGTGTGTGGGTGTTTTGAAGTGCTGGGCTGTTCTTCATTGGAATAGATGTGCACAGCAATAAGCAGGTTTTCAAACCCAGCACTTAGATTGTGTGTATATGGAATTATGTCGTTGTGTATATATTATATAATGGGCACATGTAATACAAATATTAAAGGCTGCCTGATAGTGTTTAAGCACAAATGATTCAAATGTTCACAAATCATTTCATTTTTTTACGTTACTGTATTGGTGCTGTATTGGTGTTCTTTTTTTTTTTTTTTGGTCTGGGGTCCATACCCAGTGGTACTCAGGACTTATTTCCTGCACAGTGCTTCGGGGTTGCTCTCAGCAGCTCAAAGGAGCATGCGATGCCAGGGATTGAAAATGGGGTTCCCTCATGCAAAATATGCACTCCAGCCATATGGTGCCAGGAATCGAACCTGGGTCATTCAATCCTATGCAAAGCAAGCAGCTTACCCCCTCTCCTAACTATCTGTCCCAGATTCTCGTTCTTAGTCCTGACATCCTATTAGTCGGATTTTTTTTAATATACTGAGGAAAAACTTTATAAAAGATTATTGGGGCATTACAAGAGAAAAAGTTTTATGACTAGATGATCTGCAGTATCTCTTTCCTGCTGCATTCATTATTTTTTTTTATCAAAACTTGATTTCCAAGAGCTCCTTTCTGTTTTGTCATTCATTCTTCTCCTTTGCCCTCTTCTCCTTCCTTACTCTACTCCATTTCTTACCCCTTCTTCTACTGCCTCTGTCCTTTCTATTTTCTCTTCTTTTTCTTCTTCTTTCCTGTGCTCCTTCTCTCTTCCCTGCCATCCTGCTTTTGATCCATAGCTGTTATATCTTATCAATAAGTAAAAGTAAAGTAAAGGCCCTCCCATTGATCATCGATTTGCTCGAGCGGGCCCAGTAACGTCTCCATTGGAGACTTTGTTGCTACTGTGTCTGGCATATCGAACACGTCACGGGCAGCTTGCCAGGCTCTGCCGTGCGGGCGAGATACTCTCGGTAGCTTTTCGGGCTCTCCGAGAGGGGCGGAGGAATCGAACTCGGGTCGGCCGTGTTGGCTGGGTGCAAGGCAAACGCCCTACCGCTGTGCTATCGCTCCAGCCCTGTATCAATAGTTTATGAATTTGGGATCCAAAGAGAGAGGGGACAGAGCATTTGCCTTGCACATGGCTGATCTGGGTTCAATCACTGGACCCCATAGGGTCCCTTGAGCATGGCAAGGGGTGATGCCTGAGCCCAAAGCCAAGAGGAAGCCCTGAGCACCACCAGCTGTGCCCCTCCCGGTGATACGAACTATGGAATTATTTATTCTTTATTTGCTTTGGTTTTATTCTGTTCCTTCATTTTCTTAAATGGCTGTGCTATCTCTCCAGTCCCCAAATGGAATCACTGTGAGAGAGAATTACAAAGCTGTTCGTGATTGCATGTTTGTTCTTTTGTTTTGTCTTCTTGTTCCCTTTTTGGGTCACACCTGGAGATGCGCAGGGGTTACTTGGTTACTTCTGGCTCAGGAGTTACTCCTGGCGGTGCTCAGGGGACCACATGGGATGCTGGGAATTGAACCCGGGTCAGCCACGTGCAGGGCAGTTGCCCTACCCGCTGCACTGTCTCTCCAGCCGCTCATGATTGCATGTTTGCATTTCCACGTGCATACAATGTTCCAACACTCATCCCTCCACCAGCGTAATTTCCTATCACCAGTGTCACCAGCTTCCCTCCCACCCCTTCAAGCCACCTCTCACCCCAGCCTGCCTCTACGGCAGACTGTGCCTTCGTTTATGTTTTCTGCAAATCAGTTACATCTGTTTCTGCTTTTGAAATTTTGAGCCTTTTGCTGTCCGTTCTTCCTCGCGGGAGGAGGTTCTAGAAAGCTGATTAGAGGCTGGGTACGCCTCATTCACATTCAGGGAGTGCTGGGCTTCTCTGAAGTGACATACGCGGGGAGCCAGTTTTCAGCTGAAGAGTGCCCACATGCCAGCCAGCGCCTACACCTTTGGAGGGGCTGTTTGATTCCTCCACAGAGGAAAAGACCTTGATGCATTTTCTGTAAATAAACAGTATCTTTTAATCCAGTATTTGTAAAGTTGGGTATTTTAATAAGCCGTTTCTTTAAAAGAGTGCACAACTCAGTTTATTCACGAGACAGAAAGAGACTGGACCTTTTTGATTCATAATCAGTCTAAAATACAATATCATGGAATAATTTAAATACCTCAGTATATATACAGTAATTTTTGTTTTCTGCAAAGGGCCTGTGTTTGGCTCAGTGGAAGTTGACTAATGCATCAGACACATATTGTGCCTTTTGGAGATAGAATCTATATATAAGTTGCCATAATGCAACACAGAGAGCTGTAACTGAGAGTCTGCTACACCAGGCTTTGAAAGTCTCTGACCCTCATGTTCCTTTCTCACACTAGTATTAGTGTGTTGGAGGCCCTGGACTACCGGACTACCACTGCAATAAGAGTAGCAATAAAGGTAGTTGAGTCCTAGACCGGAGATAATACAAAAGGGGAGGCAGTTACATGCATACAACTGGCCCTGGTTTGTCTTATATGTTGTTATTAACTACACTTCTTCTTGAATACTCTCTTATATTGGCATTTCTGTGGCTGAAATAATAACAGTGTGTTTTTGTACCCCTTTATTATACTTTAAGTAAAGATTTACTAACAGTATTATGCATTTATATCATGCAATTTTTAAAAATTTAAGTTTGAAATGCTAAAAGTTTAAGGACCTATAATAGATTGGAAAATTAGCACAAATCGAGGATGTTTACAGTTTACTTGAGACCGTGTATCCTTTAGAAATTATAACTAGTATATAAATTTTGCATCTTCAGCTTTTTGCTATAATAGTTTTCTGGCTTTTGTTGTTGTATTATCTCTCTTATCTTGTAGATATCATCCAACTCCAGAAATTGGGATTCCCAAAACACTAATAAAAAAATTGCAGTAATAGGAATTTCTGTGCTTCCAAAGTTTATCAAACTCAAGGATATTCTTTGTATAATGTATACTCTTACAGTGGTATTCCTAGGGGCACCCATACATTTTTCTCTCTCCTTTTCTCATTTTAGGGAAACTAAAACCAACAATGGCATTCATGTCTGGAAAATTGAAGATAAAAGGAAACATGTCCCTGGCAATCAAATTGGAGAAACTAATGAATCAGATGAATGCCAAGTTGTGAAGGAAAAGAGAAAAATATGTTGATCACTAAGCTCAAAAAAGTAAAAGGGCTCGACAGTTAAAATCTAATGTTTGTTTTCTTCCCCAATGAATGTATTATAAGGATATGCATGTTTGTTCTGGAAAAAAGAATAGAATTTCTGTACCTATAAGACTTGAAATTTTAATTAAAACAATTGCCTAATCAAATGTAAGCTTCATTAAGTGGATTTCTAAGACACTTCTGATTTATATTTTGTTAAGTTTTGCCCTCTGAACCTCTTTTAATACCTTCCTCTAGAAAAAGTATTTTGAACAACTAATCAAGGTCAAACAGTCAAATTGGCTCTAGTCAAATCTTGTTATGTAAAACGAGACTGGTCTGTTTCTAAGTGTTTGGGTTTGAACTATATACCAGTAAAAATCTTAATGACATTTTATATATTTTAAAGAAGATCTTCGATGCATTTTTATAGAACTCACATAATAAACTACTTAGTATTATTTGTGAGGACTAAGGAGTTTTTAATTTTGTTAACTAGCTTTCCAGGTGTAGTTTACCTATGAGAAAATATTACTAATGTAAATTAGCTAATTGCAGTATGCATTCTGTTTTGAAACACTAAAATAAATTGAAATCCTTCAGAAGTATGCACTTGGTCACAGTATTTTAAAACCACTAAAATCGATGGTTGTTGCAGGCTGAATTTATGCCTCTGAGAATAAATTGGTATATGGAAACCCTAGGCGCTAGTATCTAAGAATGCAAGAATGTGACTCTACATTTTTTTTTTTTTAGTGAAGGATTTTTTTTTTTTTTGCCACACCTGGTGGTTCTTACTGCTTACTCCTGCTCTGTACTCAGGGGCCACTTCTGGCAGGGCTCAGGAACCATATGGGATACTGGAAATTTAGCCTGGATTGGCCACTTGCAAAGCAAATGTCCTCCTTGTTGTACTATGGCTCCAGGCCCTCAAGATAGTTTTTATTGAACAACTTTTCCTTAGAAAGATGTAAGGTAGGGAAAGAAAGAAAGAAATATGTGTTCAAGAGAGAATACAGACTTCTCTTAAGTGGAAAGAAAAGCTATTTTTGTTGTTGCTGTACTGTTTATTTTTGTGCCATGCCCAGCAGTGCTCAGGACTTACCCCTGGCTCTGCACTCAGGGATTATTTTGGCAGTGCTTAGAGGAGGTGTCAGGCCTGGAAACCGAGGGCCAGTCTACCCACTGTACTGACTCTCTGCCTCCAGAATGAGGTTCTTTTTTAAGGTGAGACCTTTATGTAATTTGGTGATTATTATTTTTTTCTTCTTGGGCTTTTGGACCATGCCACGTGGCCCTTGAAGACTACTCCCAGTTCAGTCCCATCAGAGGTCAGCAGTGGAGCGTGCATGCTCAGATGGGTCCAGGACACCCACACCTCACCCCTTGCGTGCAGAGCTTACTGAGCAACTAAGTTAAAATTAGGCTTTCAGGGTTGCCCTGTTTGGGTCTGACTGATGTCCTTATAAGATGAGTTTGGACCCAAAAGAAGCTGGGGATGAGCAGAGACAGCAAGCCCATAAGAAGATGCCGCAGGATGGCAGGCCTCAGAGGAAGCCAGATCTGCCTTCTTGATAGTCTCCAGAACTGTGCAAAATAAATGTCTCTTGGTTTAGCCACTCAGTCTGGTATTTTGTTATGGCAACCTTCTCGAACTAATAGAATGGCTTGCTTGCTTCTTTAAAAAAAATGAGAAAGGTCTTTCCCTTTTTAGTTAAAAAATACTTGCTCAGTGTATTTCCTTTATCTCCTAATCCCTAAACGTATCATGCCTTACACTACAGAGCAACCTGGACTATTCATAAACTAATACTAGAATCATAACGCTAGGTGGCATGTGTATTGACTAGTGAAGAAACAGATGAGGAAGGATACCTAAGACTCAAGTGATTAAGTCTTTTTTTTTCTTTTTGGGTCACACCTGGCGATGCACAGGAGTCATTCCTGACTCTGCACTCAGGAATTACTCCTGACGGTGCTCAGGGGATCATATGGGATGCTGGGAATCAACCTGGGTCGACCACGTGCAAGGAAAACGCCCTGCCCACTGTGCTGTCTCTCCAGCCCCATCAAATGATTAAGTCTTGACCATCAAAAATTTCCCACCACAACCATCGTCCTTGGGTAGAATGCGAAGACCTCACGTTCCCATTCTCTGGTGGTGGCCTTAGCACTTCGTCAAGGCTCCCAGGCTTTTTTTTTTTTTTTTAATTTTTATTAGTGAAACACCATGAGATACAGTTGTAGGCTTACAAATTTTTGTGCTTGGGTTTCAGTTATACAATGATCGAGTACCCATCCCTCCACCAGTGCCCATTCTCCACCACCAATGATCCCAGTATCCCTCCCAACCCCCACCCCCGCCATCCCACCCAACCCCTGTGGCAGGGCATTCTCTTTTGTTTTCTCTCTCCTTTTGGGTGCTGTGGTTTGCAAAAGAGGCATTGAGTGTCATTCATGTTCGGTCTATAGTCTACTTTCAGCATGCTTCTCCCATCCTCCCAGGAGGGTGTTCTTCCCAACACCCTTTATTTGGTGCTCCCTTCTCTATTTGAGCTGCCTTTTCCCCTTGCATGTATGACTGGCCTCCAAGCCTTGGAGTGAACCTCCTGGTATTTATCTCGGCTATTTTGGGGTGTTAGTCTCCTATTTTGTTACTTTATGTTCCCCAGATGAATGCAGTCTTTCTATATCTGTCCCTCTCTTTCAGACTCAGTTTGCTTAGCATGATACTTTCCATGTAGTACCACTTGTATGTAAATTTCATGACTTCATCTTTTCTAACAGCTACATAGTACTCCATTGTGTAGATGTACCAAAGTTTCTTTAACCAGTCATCTGTTCTTGGGCACTCAGGTTTTTTCCAGATTCTGGCTATTGTAAACAGTGCTGCAATGAACAAACAAGTGCAGATGTCTGGAACAAAGGCAGAGCTGCAGACCAATCGGATCAGGGTTGAATATGCTGACATCTCCCCTCAAACATACGATCATCTAATCTTTGATAACGGAGCAAGAAATGTGAAGTGGAGTAAGGAAAGCCTCTCTAACAAATTGTGCTGGCAAAATTGGACGGCTACAGGGGCTGGAGCAATAGCACAGCGGGTAGGGCGTTTGCCTTGCACGCAGCTGACCTAGTTCGATTCCCAGCAACCCATATGGTCCCCCAAGCACCGCCAGGAGTAATTCCTGAGTGCATGAACCAGGAGTAACTCCTGTGCATCGCTGGGCGTAACCCAAAAAGAAAAAAAAAATTGGACGGCTACATGCAAACAAATGGGCTCAGATCTCTGCCTAACACCATGTACAAAAGTAAGATCAAAATGGATTAAAGACCAGGCTTTTCTACTATGCAGATTCTGATCAGAGGGGAGCTGACCCCTCCCACCCCCAGTCCTTTCTCTACCTTCTTCAAATGATAGCAGAGTTAAATTTGGGGGAAATTTAAAGTAGGAAATATTGTGAGATTAGAATCCTGGGTTCTGGTCACGAAAACATAAAATTTCTAATTAACAAAAATATAGAATATTGGGAAGGGGTCACAGTTTTTTTTCCATATGGTCCTGACTTGAGGGAATTGGAGGAGTTTTAACAGCCCCTTTAAGCAATATGCACAATTGACTCACCTAGAGCACAGGTCCCGCAAGCGGAAGACCCTGAGCTTGATCTCTCTCTCTCTCTCTCTCTCTCTCTCTCTCTCTCTCTCTCTCTCTCTCCTCTCTCTGTCTCTCTGTCTCTCTGTCTCTCTGTCTCTCTCTCGCACACACACACACACAACACACACACTTTGTTGCTCATAATCCTGCATTTCAACAAATCTCCTTAAATTCTCTTAAGAAAAAATAAAAATATTTTAGGTTTTTTTTTTTCTCTGCCCATCTAAATTCTCAGCCTGGGCCCTGTGACTTAGACTAACAAAAGGTTAACAAGAAAAAAAAGTCCATTAGCATGTGCATGGCCCATCTTTATGAGAGCACTCAAAGAACTCAAAGGGATGGTAAGAACTTGAGTTTATACAACATCTAAACAAAAGGAAATTACATTTTTAGAGTAGTAAAAATGGATAAGGACTTTGGGTTCTTAGGATAGCAAATTGTGGGAAGAAAAAAATAGCTGGATTATACAATAAATCATGTTCAGTTTCATAAGAAATTTCCAAGCTGGGGCTAGAGAGATTAGCACGGAAGGCAGAGTACTTGCCTTGCTTGCTGCTTGATCACCAGCACCCCAAGCCTACAGGAGTGATCCCTGAGCGCAGGACCAGGGGTAAGCCCTGAGCAGCACCTGTGTGGCCGCAAACCCAAACCAAATAAACCAATTTGTCTTCCAAAACAGTGCTACCATTTCGTAGCCCCACCAGCACTGAGTATATGTTCCTTTTGCTCCCTATTTTCGTCAGCACTTAATATTCTCACTATTGTGCATTTGGGGTAGCATAGTAGGTAGGTAATATTCTGTGTTTTTTTTTAATAAACTGAAAGGATTTAAGACAGTGCTTAAAGATAAAGTCTTACTCATTTAGCACTTATGAATGCTTGGTATAAAAGTTTTGTCATAGGTGTTACAGATCACGATCGTGATCATCCTGTTGTTCATCGATTGCCTCGAGCAGGCACCAGTAATGTCTCCTTCATCCCAGCCCATTTTAAAAAGTACCATATTCAAGGCTCTCTCAGGGGTAGGAGAACGAGGTGTCACAGAGAGCTTTTAAAAGTAGAAGACAGGGCCAGAGAGATAGTACAGTGGGCAGGGCATTTGCCTTGCACATAGCTGACCCGGGTTCAATCCCCGTATCCCATATAGTCCCCCCAAGCACCACCTAGGAGTAGTAACCCCTGAGCATCTCTGGGTGTGACTCAAAAAGAAATAAAAAGTAGAAGACACTGTCCTTTTGGTATTCCTTGCTCTCATTTCAATTTGCAATTTCATGGTGCTCAGGGACTACTCCTAGTTCTGTGCTCAAGAGTGACTCATGCTGGTCCTGGTATCTGGGATAAAACCAGGGTGCAGCTTAATTGACCATAAGGAAGGCAAGTCCATTACCTCCAGTCCTGTCTCTCTGGCCCCTAAACTTATTTATTTTTTGGTTTTTCAGCTACACACCTGGAGGTGCTTAGGATTTACTCCTCTGTGTTCAGGGATCACTCCTGGTGGGGCTTGAAGGACTATATATAGTGACAGGGAGCAAAAACTCTTCATGCAAGGCCAACATCCTATCCACTGTAATATGTGTGTGTGTGTGTGTGTGTGTGTGTGTAAAAACTGGAAACATTTAAAACAGTGCTTAAAGTTTTATCTTTAAATATATATATTTAAATGCTTATCTTTTCTTTTGGTAAGATGACCATTCAGATTATTGGACCATTTTCAATATCTAATTGGATTCTCCTCTTCTTCCTCTTCTTCCTCCTCCTCTTCCTCCTCCTCCTCCTCCTCCTCCTCCTCCTCCTTCTCCTCCTTTTTCTCTTCTTTTTCTTCTCCAGTAGTGCCTGGGGACTATTTCTAGGCAGATGTCTGGCTTGCTTCCACAGTTTCTGGGGCTATGTTTGGTCTGGATACCAAGGATCAAATCCAGAGCACCCATATTTTTAACCTCTGTACAAGTTTTTACCAGGGGTTTCCCAAGTATTCCTGCATCACTTGTTGAGAAACACGGTAGGTTTTAAAAGAACATAATCGGATTTTAATTATTTTTATATTTATTTTGGTTTTTTTGCCACACCAGGGTGCTCGGGGCTTGCTCTCGGCTCTGGTCTAAGGGCTCACTCCTGGTGGTGCTTGGGGAGCCAGGTGTGATATTGGGGATTGAACCTGGGCTTGGGTGACCATATGGGATGTTGGAATTGAACCTGGGTTGACTTGTGCTCAAGGCAAGCTCTCTATCCACTCTACTGTTGCTCCAACCCCACCTGATGGAATTTTTAAGTAATATATATATATGTGTGTGTGTGTGTGTGTATGCGTATATATATATACAAACACTTTGCCATACAAAAGCCAAACTTTTAAAAGTTTTTCACAATAATTTATTATATTTAATATTCTAACACCAATCCTCCCTCCGTTACACCTTCCCACCACATTTCAAGTTTCTACCCCAACCCCCAAAGCCAGGCCCCAAAGTAGAACCTAAATAAATTATTTTGTATTGCTTGTTATAAATAATACACTAAAAATGACCCACAAATGTTTGCTTAGAGTAAAGTGTGTGAAGATTGTTGTATTTCACTCTGGAGCCATTGAACCCCTGTTTTGGCATATCAGTGGTATAGAGTATGAGATGTCCAAGACTTGCAAAGTTTTAAATATGGTGATACAGCTGAGGTTAATTTTTTTTTTAACTGGATGGTGACTATGTGATCCAGAGGCATCTCTGCAGTGTGTTGCCTTCACGTTGCTCTCTTCCGAGAGACTTATTTCTGAGTCTCTGCATCATGATCGTTAATGAGCTTATATGGCGCCAGAGGCAGTTTGTGGGTGTGACTGCTAGGCTACTGGAAGCATAGGGAGATGGGGGAAGGTCACCCATTCCCGACTCTGTGTGAGCCTGGAGATTTCAGTCACAAATCCTTCATATCTGGGTTTTTCAACAGATTCACTCATGGATGAGGCTTGTCCGA